TTACTCATAAGGCATTGTAAGACCTAATTTTTAATTCCTCGTGACAATGTGGAAGAAAATTAAAGACTGTAAAATAACTTTTTCATAAAATATTATGAAATATTTTAGGAATAATAGCACGAAATCGAGTTAACAATAATGTATTGTTTCTGGTAAACTCACGTAGAATTATTGCTGTTTTGCTGTAGAGAATCATAAGGCATGTACTATAACGTGCCTTTCATATAAACATTTGAATTGCGGCGCCTTATTTTATTCTCGTGTCCATTATCGATACAATTCAATCGATAAATACGATTTCGAGAATATCTGTCGTTCGGCATTTGTCACTTATTCACATAAGTGACAGTACGGAGATCAGTGGTTTGTGTATCACTGTATGAAATAGTAACGTTGCCCCGCTGTAGAATGTACACAAAATGAGTTTTGAGACATGCCTTTGAGTGCTTCGTTTTGTTTAAGAATTCGATGAGTATGCGCTAGAAAATTGTATCATTATATCTAATTTTTTTTTATTGAAAACGTCACTTTCTTAATTTCTCGACAATTAAGTGTGTGCCAGAAATTGTAGCAACTGTGTTATGTGTAATATTTTACAGAAGAAATTGTTAGTATTTGGGAGAATAACAACATGTCATGTGTTAGTTCCAGAAAAATATGTTTTCTATAGGTACAATATATTTCGTTGTGTAGTCATTTATGACCAGAAGACAGAAACCATACAGCACAGTGAAGAGGAATAAAAATGAAATTTATAATTCAGAGTTTGTGTGTATGTGTGTTGAATACAAAAAAATATTGTTATATCATTTTAAAATAGTATGTTTAATTATTTATGTTAATGAAGAAATGTGTAAATAGTTTTATTTATTGTGCTGTAACACAAGGTGCTTAGCATTTCATTGTATACTAATAATTGAAAGGATATGTAATGACAAGAGTTACAAGAAATTACTCTGAAGAAACTGATTTTATTGTTGTAAAAGGTGCCTAATTCAAAGAAATGGAAGAAGCACAGAAGCCGTTTGTGTGTACTGTGGAAGGGTGCTCCATGGTATGTCAAATATGAAGTACAGCATGATCGGAATGTGCAATTATTCATATGTTTGATACAAGGTTAAATGGTTCTACTTCAAATGCTTATTGTTTTGGAATATAACCGTATTTTTCTTCTGTTATGAAATGTATACAATAAACTTCATTTTCATCTGTCATTCTGAAATAGAGCTGCATTGTAATAGATGAAAATTTGTATTATTTTTAATTAAATATACAATGTAATTTCTAACTTCAATATTATTTATGTTTAATTTAATGTAATGGCCGCTGTTAATGTGAAATTTGTAGTACATTATTCAAAATATCTTTTGTTTTGCTTTTATTGAATAAAATTAGTAATTTTTCAAAACTAGCAATTTTTCAAAACTAATCATAATTTTGTTTCAAAAACATTATACTTGCATGTTTGTTTCTTGCAACTTCAGGTGCTCTTATGATAAGTTGGCTTTGGATTTAATTTTTATAATATGACTTATGACATAATAACCATAAATAACTGGTGTTCACTAAAATATGTGTTATTTAAAGTTCATTAATAATGTGCTCAAATTTACCACCAGAACAATTTATTTTTCACCTTGAAATACTTTTCAATAAAAAAAAATCTGACATTTCAAAAAGAATGTAAAATAATAGTAATAGTATATCGTTGATTGATTGTTGTCTATGAAATGTACACATTGAGAATAGTTGTGGAAAATGTTAACAAGTTTTAAGTTAATTCTTCTGTTTTATAAGAATGTATTCAATTGGGACAGTTAAGTGTAATAAACATATATTGAATTATAAATTCACAGATTGTTATGATTGTGTTAAAGACATACATAACAATTAATTAAAAATATGTATTGAAGTTTTATTCTTTTAACAAATTCCAAGATATAAACATAATTTCTGCTAAGAAATTGGGCCACATAGTTGATCTTTTGCTTCCCTTGTTCTGTGGATCAAATTTGTGTGTCCTGTATTTGTTATTTGGAATAGGATAGGGAGGAAATTGAAAGTAAGCATTAACATTGTGATTACTCCACTCAATCATATGAAGCAGCATATTTTTTTTCCAAAAAATAAATAAATACATTTAAAAAAAGATAGACCTGGAAGTAGCTTTATCTTTTTTCACATAAGGCAAGTCATGATTATAAATATGAGATTTTGTTGGGTATTTGTATCATGCTTCCTTCATCAAATGAAAGCGAAAACATTTTGAGAGCTCTGCTTTCAATATCTACTTTTGATAGTTTCTCATAAATGTGTGAAATCAATTTTTACGTAGCTATTATAATATAATTCATATTAGTTAAAAATAGATTCTTTTTCTTAATGTACTTCAAGCTTTCTTTTAATCTCTAACTTAGAAATCTGTAAGTCCTTGCAAAGTTTGCAATCATCTGCCTTTTGTGTACAGTTGTAATTTTTTTTTCAGCGGTTCACTCAGGAAGATAATTTGTCACTCCATAAAAAGAAACATGACATGGTACTCAATCTTGGGAATCCAAAAACAAATGTCTTTGTTGGTAAGTACCCAAATTTATGTTCATTTTTAGTAGTTTTCAATTTCGTGAACTTTTGAGATGCTTTCGTTTAAAATGTTTTGCCAAAGAAAGAAGTCTAAAAATGTTGTTTTAACGGGAGTCCTAACTTGTAAAACAATACATTTGATTAATTTATTCATAATAATATTTAGTTTTTATTTAGCAAGACTGTAAATACGAAGAATGTTCGTGCATTATTACAAAATTGGTAGTCAGAAGTATTTGTTTGTGTATATTATTTGGATTAAAGTAATGGTATTTTCTTTGGGATCCATTTTCTCTGAGTAATTTTTATGAAATGAGAATAAAGATTATGCCATAGCTATGTAAGTGAAATATAAATTAATTTTTCTATTAAGTACTTGATTTATCAGTAATTTCAGGTATATTTTTATGTCACATGAAAAGTTTATTTTCACACAGAACTACTAAAGATTTTAATGATTATCTTATGAGTACTCGCTTACCCTCATGTTTTATCCCCAGCGGACCAGACTCCTACTCCCACACGATTTATCAGGAACTGTGAAGAAGTTGGACTTTTCCAAGATTTGCAAAATGTTAATCCTTTTGAGGAGACTTTTCGTAAAGCAGTGGAAGCATCTCGTGTTGGTGGATCACATCTAGAGGTAAAAGTTGAAGATTTATGGCATTGTTTATAAAATTGAGTTGTAGTAAATCAGAGTTATATGTATTGGTATTACACAAGTTAATACCAATTTAAATAATGGCATTGATTTTGAGCATGATTTAAACTATTTTTTATTTATATCGTAGGTATTTTAATATTTCTTATGTAAGAATGATGTTTGGAAATAAATTTTTGTGTCTCGTATCAGTCCATTTTTTAATTAATTGAAGAGATTTTGTGTGAAATGTTTTAATTTGTTTTAAGAGTTCACATTTTTATTCTAATTCTCATTCATTGTTATTTCAAGAAATTTATTTTAATAACTGACTATTGCTTTAAAAAGTGTAATTAATTAATTTTTTGATTTCAACTTTTGATTTTGTGATAACAGACTTAATGTTGAAATGAACAAATCTTTTAGGCATATCACATGATGAAGACCAAAAACTGTTGTCAAAATGTTAAGTTGTAAAGTAAATTATTTTTTCACCTTCAATTCAGTGACAGGCAATACTCTATTCATTTTATGATGCTATTAGATGGACTGTTTTTATTTACTTCTGTTTACATTCCCAATACATGGTACATAATATAATTTTGAATTGCTTCAAATAGCTATAATGTTAAAAAAAATGTTATTCTATTAATAAACAAGTAGAAATTGTGTTTGTTCATGGCAATTATTGTTATAAACTGCAATATTATTCTGTGAAGGTGCAGTCTTTACAAGTGCCGGCAGCTACTGATGACACTTTACATACTCCACATGTATTTCCCAACATTGTTGAGGAGCATAACTCCATTACAAATCTCATTGCTTCATCATCTGTCACAGAGACTTCTGGAGAAAAGTCAGACTCAAGGTGAGTTATAATGAGATATGATCATCTTTTTGTTTGTAAAATTTGAATGACAAAAAATATTGATAACGCAGAAACGTTAAAGTAGGTATTTAAAAAAGTGATGGAAGAGATACAAGAATATGACTTGCTTATTTATCATTTCTAGGCAAGTTGTTGTTTTGTGATGTTCATCATGACTACAAGATGAGCATATGTGTTCATTGTAGGGAATTATTATTTGAATAACTGTTGAGGGCTTCTCAGAGGAAGGGGTAATGATGGACACACACCAGCTACAGCAAATCACCTGCTATTCAAAAATTTTGTATTTCGATTTTTGTCAATGTGTTTCTCATCTTGTAACTGCCCCTAGGCTTTCATAAATACTATAAGTTCAAATAAGATTAATCTGTTTGATACAATTAATATTATAGGGAGGAGTTGGAACCACTGCAAGTACCAACCATTTTGCACACTGAGTCCACAGTTATAGAAGTCACTGATACTTCAGATTTAGATGCTCAAATTGAAATAACAGGATTAGAAAATACCGAAGTACTTGTCAAACAAGAAACTGACTCTTCACAACAGACATCTTCTCGTGCATCATCAGTGGAGTAAGTAAAGAAATTAGAAATCTTAATATTCTCCCTAAGAGTAAATGTAATAGGACTATCTGGGAGTTTTAGCCTGTGAAGATTCAGTTGATTCAAATGGCTGTGGTCTGTAAGACAGTAGTGTTGAAGTGAGCGTTATGGTGGCTTGGTTCATTTCCTGTACCTTGTGTATCATGTACCCTCATCCTCTTCTAATCTCTTGCCCTGATCAGTAACCATGCGAGTGTGAAATCTGTGTGTGTGAGTGAGGAATTGGCTCCCTACATCCAGATTCATTGTAAAAGCACGGAGACATGCCCACCGACCACCTCAGACATAATTGTAAAGGTAAAGGACCGAAATTAGCATAAGGGTTACGTTGGCATGAAGTTCGAGGAGCTCATAGACAGCAAATTGTAGAGTTCCTAGGGGAGCGGTTGTGCCCCCAGTGGGACAATAGATGGTTGCCAGGATGGGGGTCAGGCAAAACAAGAAGGCCAACCAACCAAAAAGATCAGGCCAACCAAAAAGAAAGGGAAATCTATCTATTAGACGAGGATTCAGAATTGTTGGGATGTACAAGATTTCTTCCTCTCTCCACAGAGAACTTACCATTTTTTAGAATTTTTAAGTTCATAATATTATTCTGGTTACAACTTTTACTAGTTTTGTTTTGAATCCTACTTCCATAAATTTCTCAGATATCTCCTAGATCTGTTTTTCCATGACACTAGCAAACCAGCATTGTTGTTTAGTTATACTTAGAAAAAGGAAAATGGTCAAAAAATATATTTATGAAAGAAAACCTCAAAAGATTTTTTACCCAGTTGCTAGAATTCATGAGCATCTTTTAACTTGTTGCTATAGATACACTGCATAGAAAACAGCCTTTAAGGCATGGAAAGTCATTCAAGGTAAAAAAGAGCCCTTATCTCTGGTCTCTCCAGGTATGGAAAAATGTCCAGGCATGTCTTAGGGTTATACGTTGTTTAGTCAACTGCCTTTCAGCCTGGTTTGGATCCTTGAAGTGCCACTAGGGACCAATACTAATGAGATCAAACACATCATTCATCATGATACAAACAAGGCAACGAGAAAATAATTCACCCAGAGATTGCTGAAGCACTAACCAGCACCTACAAGTAACACTTTTTCACATTATGAATACTACTAATCACCAACCCTTACCCTCAATAGCTTCTTTATTGCCCCAGGGTCTTCAACATGTTAGTGCATTTAAGTAGTTGTAAGTTAACTATTACTTCTGCTAGAATCGGAACTAGACCCTTCGGCATGAAAAGCAATAACACTGACCTTCAACTACTCAGAGACTACACAATGATCACCTGATCCTGTATGATTTGTGCTTTGTATGTTGAATACAATCATACTTGAAAAGTATCAATGGTCACCAACACTGAACGTGTGGCAACTTCACATTGGCTAGCAGCAGCTGATGAGTATGTCACAGGAACAGTTATCAAAAATTTTACTGCATGCAGTTTTTATACAGGGCTCAGCTATAGTATCCTAGCTTTCTAATCACCTGATCTTGAATTCATTTTTTTGCAGAAACTCAATTTGCTTTGTTCATTCAGCATTGGGGTCATAATATATCTGTGACAGCAACTGAAGAAATATCATAATTTAATTGTTGTATAACAGCCTGTAAAACCAAGTGATTGAAACCAGCCTGTAAAACCAAGTGATTTGAAGCAATTGGAAGCTCTAAGATGATGACTCCTATATACAGACCTCTCAATAAAAATCACTGTTGGTATGCAAAATGCAGTGTAGTAGCCTAATGTTGGCTCCTTGCCTAATTTCACTTCCTAATGTAGCTCAATTATCAGTTGTTGAATTTGAGAACAGCAATAATGAAGAGACAAGATGATCTACATCAATATCTTTAGTCCGGTTATTTACACTGAGGTGACAAAAGTCATGGAATATCTCCTAAAATTGTGTTGGACCTTCTTTTGCCTGGCGAAGTGCAGCAACTCGACATGGCATGGACTCAAGTCATTAGAAGTCCCCTGCAGAAATATTGAGCCATACTGCCTCTACAGCTAACAATTGTGAAAGTGTTGCTGGAGCAGGATTTCATGCATGAACTGACCTCTTGATTATGAGCCATAAATGTGTGGCCAAATCATTTGTTTGAATTGTTTAGAATCTTCTCCAAACCAATTGCAAAAAATTGTGGCCTAGTGACACGGTGCTTTGTCATCTATAAAAATTCCATCATTTTTGAATATGAAATCCATGAATGGCTGCAAATGGTCTCCAAGTAGCTGAATATAACCATTTTCAGTCAATGATTGGTTCAGTTTCACCAGAGGACCCATGTAAAAACAGTCACTTCATTATGGAGCTACCTCAGCTTGCACAGTGCCTTGTTGACAGCTTGGGTGCATGACTTTATGGGGTCTGCACCACACTTGATTGCTATCAGCTCTTACCTACTGAAAGCGGGGCTCATCTCATCCAGATCCACCCTTGAACCCCTTCTTGTATCTGTTTTTTAGTCGTCTTTGTCCAATCAATATGGTCACAAGATCAGGAGATACACTGCAGGTGATGTTGTGCTGTTAGCTGATTGATTGAATCGATCTTCTGCTGCCATAGCCCATTTAAGGCAAATTTTGCCACACTGTCCTAATGGATGCGTTTGTCATACATCTGACAATGATTTCTGCAGTTATTTCACACAATGTTGCTTATCTGTTAGCAGTGACAACTCTACACAACTGCTGCTGCTCTCGTTCATTAAGTAAAAGCTGTCAGCCACTGCATTGTGTGAGGTTATGCCTGAAATTCTTGGCACGATCTTGACACTGTGGATCTTGAAAAATTTAATTCCTTAACGATTTCCGAAATGTAATGTCCCAAGTCTCCAGCTCCAACAACCATTCTGCATTCAAAGTCAGTCAATTCCCATCATGCAGACACAATTATATCAGAAACCTTTTCACATGAGTACAAATGAAAGCTTTGTCAATGCATGGCCCTTTTATATGTGGCCATTTTATATTTGTATGTGATACTATTGCCATCTGTATATTGTTATCCCATGACTTTTGTCACCTTCTTGTATATCTGAGCGATATGTGAATTTAATGTTATAGAATTTTTGTGTTTGATATCAAAAGTCTCTTAACTATCTAGAAGATTCTCTCTTAACGGTTCAGAAAATTATTCATCCATTGTTGAATAAAATTAATCATTTTCTAAAATGTGAGAAAAGTATCTTATTCTAAGCAAGTACTAAGTAAATATGTAAAACAAAACACTAAAGTCTAACATTCAAGATCTTAAATATTATGTATGGTTCATCTAAGCAACATGGTATAGGTGTTGAAAAAGTCGTTGAAGATTTAGAATCCAAGTTCGAAGATCTTCCTTAAGACACAGAAGTTCTTTGGTTGTCCTGCCACAAAGTCCTGAAGAGCTTCCAATTGCTTTTGGAGAGGATAAATGTATTTCTTGAAATGAAAGAAAATAAAAAACCTGAGAATATGTTGATTATAAAAGATATAAATTGATTATTATCCTTTGTGGATGTGGATAAAAGTATTTTTGTCTTCAATTGATGCAACGCGTCTTCAAGCCTCGGGGTGCGTTGAGCGCTTTCTGAGTAATCCTCCATTAGTATTACAATGTCATATCCGTCACGTCATCACAGTTGTCAAGAGCATCCCCAAGTAGCATTTCCGCGTGTTGATAGTGTTGTAAAATTGAATACAGGTTACAGTGATTTCAAAAAGAGCTACAACAATTTTTCTTTCCTCTCTTTTTTTGGGGGGGGGGGGCTTTTTCCTTTCATGTTGAAAATGCTCCGACTTTGCCACAACTGGAATTAATTGATTTCCAGCTGAATTCATTTTTAAGGGACAAATAACGAGAAGTAAGAATTCTTAAAATATATTCATGGTACGTGAAAAATACCTGGATATTAAAAAGATCGCTGCACAAATTTTGTGTTATTTTACAAGTACATGCTTGTGTAAGTAACTATTTTTACCCATAGAATGAAATAGGCATATGGAGGAGGGCATTGTCCCTCCCCCAATTTCGAGTTGGGCCCCTTAGCCGTAGCATTTTATTTCTGTAAATATTATCGATTCGTTATTTCCCCCCTTTTTTTAAGCTAACAATTTGGAGAATTGATACACAATATATGAGGAGGTGGCTCTCCAAACCATCAGGCAATCCTGCAAATAGTAAAACATGAAATCAGTTGAATTCATTAATTGTATCTAATGATACTTGTTATAATTTCATTCTCCATGTAGTACATTTTATTTGTTTGCTAGCAAAGTATGTCATTTTTAAATAAAAATGTTAATGGAATAGAGGTCCCAAAAACTTAGTTGCCTCTGATTTTAGGCTCCACACCCTATGATGGTCGATGTGTCATCCATCTTAAACGTCAATGTCTACTCTTTGAATGATGAAGAATTGTATGCAAATCATTTGTGCCTATTTAGGGATGGAAAATGTACCTGTATACTGTAAGAAAAATTGTTTTAAAGTTATTATTATATTTGTAATGAAGTAAGACAAACCTTCATTGAGGTTCAAACAAATATCTATATTAAAAAACGCATCATTTAGCCTTTTTTGAGATTAGCTATGTCCATGATGGTATGATTTACTGTGCTACCAAAATTTCTTGTCTAATTAGCTTGAAAAATTTTAATTGTATTTAGTTTTTTTACTTATTAATGCTCAAAATAGGGTCAATTAACATTTCAAAGGAATAATATGAAAAAAATAAAAGTATTTCATGGGATCTCTTTGGAATCTAATTAATATTTTTGAAACACTCCATTCATTTATGACTTTTTGTTTGTGTTAGAATTATGTTTGTTGCTATTGTTTGTTTTCATTTTAGTTCTGGTTACAAAATTCCTGTGACAACTGCATCTACACGAGATACAGTTCAAGTAGTGTTTCGTATGCCAAATGGAAGGTTTGTGCAGCTCTCGGGTGTGTCTATGGACAGTATTCCATCAACACAGCTACCTATACAGGTGAGTTTTCTTTTCCTCCTAAAAGGATTGAATTAGTATAACTTTTGTATCTTATCATCGAATAGTAAATTCTGTGAAAAAATTTGCATGTAGTGTGTTAATTTACAAGTAGTAATATAGTATGATCATCCCAGCTGACTAATTCAGTTGTTGATAAGATGAAAATAAATGACCTTGTAGACCTATTTCTTTAGTGAATCTTTAAACTCAATTTGTGTTACATAAATTTATTAATTACAATTCTCTAGTTGTAGATTATCACCAAGTGGTGATTTTATTCTTAACAACATAATAAATTGCCATTAAAAATTTAAATGCAAAATTGTGCCACATAGAGAGCTTCTAAGAAGAAGCTCAGTATGTTAATGCTGTTGCAACAGTACTAGTGCAGTTAAATCTTGTTAGCGTGTTTTTCAAGGAATCGAAATTTTGATTTTTTGTATCCAGGAAACTTGTTATTAAACATTCAATTTGTATTTTAGACATTTCTTTCTTTAGAACACTATAGAAGGAAATTGAAACTAGTTTACATGTAAACATCTGAAATACATATGAGGTAAATTTAATTGCATATAATATAACGCATAAAAACAAAATTACACCCAAATAGTGCACACAGGAAAAATACGTATATTGACAGGAAAAATCAAGAAAAGAAAAAGAAAAACTAGAAAAAAGACTAACATTCATAGTCTATCAAAATGAAATTAATGTGTGGTCACACAACGTAACACAAACAACCAAGATGGCAGATGTACAATAAAATACATTTCCCTGGCTCTGGGTTCATATTCTGATTAAAACTCAACATGCACTGGTACCCTCAAAAACCTCAAAGTACCCTGGAATTAACACTCATTCCAGCGTTTACTGCTCTAGGAAGAATGTTTAGTACATCATAAGATAGTAACTCTGCCCTGTCTTTTAAAATAATTAATTTTGTTAGCGTTTTTACAATTCAAATTAACAATGTACTTAGTTTCAATGTTCAGTACATGTGTGCAACATTTTGACAAAGATATTTTGCTGCAGTGTTTTCTTCACTGCAAGTGCATATATAACCCAATATTCTTCATGCAAATTGATACTGAAATGTTTGTTCATAGATGATTTGTGGAATGTCCTTTTAAAATACATGAAATTAAATAATATATTATATTATTACTATCTGGAAGTCGGCATTTACCATCCTCTTATACTAGAAATGGTAATTTCTTCCTCTTTTATGTTTGAGGCTTTATGACGTGCCAAGTTAGAGGCATAGCAAAGTATCGTATTATGAGTAGCATTTTTTGGCAATTGCTTTGTATTTTTAAATAATTTCGGGCCCCTATAAGATTTACAGTTTGAAGTGAAATTACCTTTCTTATTTCCTTCAAGTAAGATGTAAAAAAGATTACTGGTATTCTCTTTAGTGTATCTAATTGATGTGTGGAGAGAATTTTTTATTTGCTAAATTCTTTAATTATATTGTTCAACAGGTTCCTCCTAATGTTGTCCAGACTGCACCTGTTGCACAATCTTCAGCTGCATCAAATGCTGTGATAATAAATACTCAGTTTGTAGAAACTGCTGCAAGATTGACACAAATTTCTGCAGAATCCCAACAAAATCTTGTAGAACTTCCTTCAGTCTCTGTTCCTGTTTCATCAGCTTCAGTAACCACCTCATCATTAAACATTACAGAAACTGTTAGCACTCCGCAAGCAAGATTGTCTGCAGCAAAAATGGTGAGTTTTTCTATTGATTCAAATGTAATATCTTCATAACAAGCTTGTTCATACATAAAAAATACAATGACTATATGGATTATGATTTGCTAGGAATTCAAAGATATTTTTATTATTTAATTTAGTAATGTTATTTTATTTCAATTTCTCATTTCTCATCTGGGTACCTCTTTATTTCACTTCTTTCTGGAGACATTTTATTCGACCTAGAAGTATTTTCCATTTGTATTATGTTCAAAATAATGAATATTAAGTGCTAAATATCAGTGTGTCCTTTGCTGTAACAGACCCATCAGTGGTTACCATTCATCTTAACAGAAGTCTACTCCTTCTCACTATCAATGCCAGAGGTTGGGTGTGTTGCACAACATTGCTTGCTTGTGTGCGATTGATAACTGTATGCCTTCCAGGCTTCCATTGACTTCACCTGAACCATATATAGGCTGGCTGAGTCCATATCCTTGTGAATTTGTGAATCTTTTTATTTTTTGGGAATACTTTTCATGAAACTCCCTTGAACATTTTCAAAACTTTCTCAAAAATTGCCCATTTTTCTATTTTTTATTTATTTATTTTGTTTGGATAGAGCACAGTGCAAATATGGTGTTGGTTTGATTTTCTTTAAGACATCTGAATTTTCAAATATTGCAGAAGTTCAAAATTTTTTTACCTCTTCCTACAACTACATTATTGAAGCTAAATTTTTTTTCTTAATGAAAGTTATTATTAAAAATCAGGATTTAAATAAAGTACTCCACATTTTTTTTTCTTTTTTCAAAGTATCAGTAGTTTCACAACTTTTTTGTCTAATCATGAACATTTTTTCAAAGTATGTAAACAAGGTTTTTTTCAAAAACAGCTTCTAATTTTATCTTTAACCATTTTTCTAAAATAGAGTTATGTGCATTTATAAATATTAAAATAGACAAAATATTTTACAAAAAAAATTCTGTGGTACTTTGTTGTACAATTCCCAATGTTTTAAAGTTGTAGGTTTGGAAAGTTCTGGATTTTACTTAGACAAGCATTTATTTTGGTTTTTTCCTTTATAATAAAAATGTTCTTATATTTTCAAAGCTTGACAGTATTGTGTTCAAAATTCATCATCCGCTTCCACATTCATCAGCTTCCGTTTGCATACTTTGTACAAAAACATAAATATCAAATCTTATTTTACGCAGTGGACTCAAGTATCCAAGATAACCTTGGATACAAAAGAACCCTGATAATCCATAGTTCATTAGGTAAAGGATTGTGAACAAACCGTGTGCTAAATGATTATCAGGGGGTGGATTTTATGAAATGTCAGTTTTTAGTGCAGAAATTAATTTTATGTTATGACAAAAGGAAATAAACTATTTTTAAAAGTTTTTTTGCAATTTTCATTTTGACTAGTAAGTCATTTTTTACTTCTTTCCGACCATTTTCAATGCATTTTTTGCTGATTTCATCCATTTTAATTTCATTTTAATGAGGCTTACTTCTAATAACGTTTACGAAATGCAATAAATGTTATCAACAGAATTCCTGAGTACCCTATTCGATTTCTTTGCTCTTAAATTGTAATGTTAGCCATTGTGAGTATGTTATCTAAGGTTCCTGTGATGCCTACCAGTTCAGCTGATTTCGGGGTAATTAAAGACTGAAATTTCCTGGTAAAGAACAGTCCAAACCAAATGTTAGAGAGCAGAGTTCAAGTGCAAGTGCACTTGAAGAAGCCTTGATTACATCAGTAACATATCCAAAGAGCTTGAATTGTTCATCCAAACTGGTTTAGATTGCATTTCTTATGTTTTTTTCTTCTTTGCTTTCCGGGCATAATAAAAACATTTTATTGATCATTTTTGGTGATGTTTTAAGCCATCAAAATCTGCCCCCAATAATTATGTACACTTTAAAATATTAAACACATAAAACAGTATAAATGGAATAACCACATTGAGTGAAGTCAGAGACAACATAAACTGAGAGTAGCAGTGACGAACCACACACTCAATGATTGACAAGGAAATTCAGTGATTATGCAATTGGGGAAAGTCCCAAGATTCCTGGAAACACTGACTTCATAGCATAACTGACTGATCAGTTGTTTTCCAGTGAATTATTTCGTTGCTTTTTCTTATGATTGCCTTGATGAATTGAGACTCGAATATTCACAAATCCTCTGTGGTATCAAATATCTTGGATATCTTTGTTATCGTTGTTTTTATAAATATGCTGGGAAGAATAAATAGCTTGTGAACACTGATTTCATAGAATTCACGTGCTTTGCAAGAATGCAACAGCTCATGTGGTTTGTTTTTATTTTATTGTTTGTATAATTTATGTTGAATATTCCACCATCACCTAATAAGGACTAAGAGGTTGATTTGTTATGTGTTAATAGTGCCAGGTGTGTGTTACATGAAATAGAAATGCAGAAGTATTTATTACTAGAATTTCAAGGATGGAAAACAAAACCTCTTGAGCAAGAATAAATCTGCAGTATTTTTATGCTTTTCGTCAAAACAACAACAACAACAACAACAACAACAACTGCACAATAGAGTCTATCGAACAAACAGGCTCTATTGCAGCTGATGTGAGAAAATGCTTCAAGATTCCTTCTCTCTACACTCTCCTGCACTCTCTACACTCTCCTTTGATTCAATTTGAATACCACTTTAAGTGGGAATTATTTGCTGCAAAATGATTGATAATGAGTTTCATCAAATGCCAGTTGAACTACACCAGCAAGTATATGAAGTATGCAGCAACGAAATAATAAGAAGTTTTGTGTTATGCTGCTGAACGGGGCAACAAGTCATATCATTATTGTCAGTGATTTGGTAGCAGCTGATACATTTGACTATGACATCTACTGCAATAAGTTCCTTCTGGCCAAGTGCAATAGGTGCAAATGGAGGTCTTCCTTTTGTTGATGGTATGGAGGAGATTTACAATTTTCTCAATGAGAATGATGATTGTCATTTTTCCTTGGATTATCTAATAAATGTAATCTCTGGAAAAAAACCCACACAAAAACCACTGGAAAGCAAAGCTACTGGAAACATTTGGTGACCATGTAAGTCACTCAGTTGTAGAACAAAACCTCTGTGGTATGTTTTCGAGATATGGATGACAAAATATTCAATGAATCATGGTATGATTCGAGTTTTAGGTGTCGTAATAATGGAAGTGCGCGCATTAGGGTGTTTCAAACTACTGCAGCTATAGTAAGATCTGACATAATCTGATGGGAAGGTTGTGCAATGGAGCTGAAACACTAAGGCTAAACTTGTAAAGGGCTATAGTGTGACAGAAGAAGAAGAAAGGGGCATTGGCAAAGTAGCTTCTAACAACCATGTAGTTATTATAGGCAAAGTTATTGATTTGATGGACTTGTTTATAACATTCTCTTCATCAACCAACATATTCTACGTCAAACCAGAAAGAGGAAAAGTACAGACTGAATCATATTCCTCCTTAAAGCTTGAAAAAAAACTGAGTTTTGCTGAAGATCTGTGATTGCAGCACTGTAATTTCTGTAAGGAAGGTAAGTTACAGTTAGTGAAAGATAAAAACCTTAAAAACTTTGCGATGTATTTTATGATCTTGAGATCAGAAGCAGAATCACAAGCTTGTGAACAGATGTTTTTAATACCGTATCATGTTCTTCAAAAAAAAAACTTGGAAGCAGATTCCCTGCTTTCTTGAACTCTGCCAAGATGCACTTCCTTCTTCAGTCTGGTAATTGTCAGGGAGCTTGTACAAATGGCCCTCCAACAGAAGATGAACTTGGTAAGGATATTTTGTTCAACCTGTAACTTCTAAAATATTAATCCTATTTCAAAAATCAGTAGGAAATTATATCTGCATTAGTTTTGTATATGGTATAATTTTCTCTAGAATTGATAGTTATGGAGATACATGCAAAAAACGTGGAAGAAACACACTTCAACAGCTCCCCCACCATGGCTCATACCACATCCTTCAGATTTTTAGTACAGCATACTGTAGGTACTAATGAATAATCATGCCAAATTTCAAAACTCTGGAATGTATTTCACTTGAATTGTATAATTTGATTGATCTATCAATGTTGATATATTTTTATTGACGGTTCTTTCAAAATATTAGTTGTTTACACATAGTTTTGGGCCAAATCATGTCACTTTTTTGAAAGTACGTAAACAAGATTTTCTCAAAATTCGTGGTTTGAACGTTTTGTAAGAATAGAGCACAACCTAATGAATTATATTTGTGCACACACAATTGATTAAATGAGCTTGTGTAATATTTCTTGAAATCTTAAACGTTTGTGCTTGTAAATCTTTCTTTTTTTCTGCAGATAATAAGAGGGTAATTGGTAGGAGAGTTATGTAAGTCAGTGACTTTATCATGGCTAGGAACTGGATTTCAATGCAAATGCATATTTTTTCCCTGTAGTCAGAAAGTATGCTCGTTTGGTATGTGCATGAAAACCCAATTTCCAATCGTTTAAATACGATTTTATGATGCATATATTGCATGTTTTTCCTGTTTTCTTATTAAGTATCATATTTCTGCAAATTGCTAATTATTTTGCATATTTTTTTCTATTGTAACTTATTTATTTATTATATTTATTGTAATAAATTTAACTTTTAACTCTATAATTTGTTCCTATGTACACAATTCATTGTAACTAATATCAATTCCATTAAATTGTGCATGATATTTAACAGGAATATCACAATTGTTTCAAGTATTACATGCCATTAACTCCATTTTAAAATCCAGTGAACACATGTGAATTGATCTCTCGCAAGCTACAGAGCGGAGGGTTGCTCTACAAATGTGAATGCAGTAGGGTGTGCAAAAGAAAGGAACATCCCCTTTCGGTGTATGAAGGTAACTTCTAAGGAGATTTTGCAATTGTGTTCAAATGCGGTTTTAATGCTAATTGTTAATAATATATTTAGCTGCAGATTTATTATGAAAATTAATTGTATTAATGGTCATCGAGTAATATAATGAGAGGAGGGATATGATATAATACTGGATGAATCACATCTCATTGCAAATGTAATGTGTAAATAAAAAAATAAATTTCATAACATTAAATTTCTTCTGGACATAAAACAGATATAATGCTTGAGGTACAATTGTTATCAGTCTTGAGGATGATAAGGTATCTCTCATTTTCCTTGGGAATGTTCTTCCTGTCAGGCATTCTAGATCCCCTAATTTCCATTTATCCAATTTGCATGTTTGATTTATATTCTCATGTAATGAACTATTGTAGGCTTCAGCACATTTCCTGAGAGGCATTTTGAAGTATTGGTTGACTTGGAGTTAATATATCTTTTAATTATATATTTTAATTAAGCTGGAGGCTTAATTAATATTTGGAGGGAGTATATTTGTACTTGTAACTATTGCTTATTGCATTATCTTATTAGAGTATAGTGAGAAGGAGGTGGTGAAATGAATATTCAGAGAGAGTGAGAGAGAAGACGAGCAAGCAATCAGGAAAGTTCAACAGTTGGAAGCTGAACTCTTTGTTGGTTCAATGTTTTCACCTTTACTGCTGTTGCAGCTGTGAGTTGGGGTCCTTCTTAGAATATTGCTGAGTTGGACACCCACATAAAGACAATGACCAATCAGGACACAGACGTTATCATAGGAGGGTAGAATGACACTAATTAGGGCTGTCACTTTACTCCTGTCAAACTTGAACAAATTAAAATGTGTAACCCAAAACCCTGACATAGTAGTCTCAACTCTGCCCCTCTGGTATAACAGACCTACACTATGCCGTGCACACAAATCAAAAATTTTATTCTGCATCTCAGAAAAACAAATGTTGCACTTTTTTAAATTAATTTCTTGTCAGCAAAACACATCATCCATTGTCTGTCTCCACATGAACCTTGCTGGAAAGTATACACTCGGTAGTGAGTTGGCACAACACATCATGAACTCGACATGCAGTATGTTGCAAAAAAAAAAAAAAACATCCATTTCACCTTCCTTACTTTCTCCACCCTCCACCTCTATCTCGAATCTTCTTACCTACTCCCATTTCTCCCAATCCCAGTACCAATTCCTCTCCACCTTATGCATCAATTTCTTCAGAAGTTGTCACTGCTGGAACGTGTCACAACCTTCAAACAAGCGCTCTGAGTTAAATTGACTAAATATATAGCACAGTCAGATGCAGAAGAAAAACATTTGTGGGGGTACTTGCCAAAGATTCACTTTCTGCACCATATTGTTCAATCACTTTTAAATAAAACTGAATTTATTGAGGCTGCTTTACATAGTGATTTAAATCAATTAAATGTTCTTTGCTTTACAGAACATAGGTATCTCATAATGAATTTCGCATTTTCCAAATGCCAAACTAGTATCTTGCCTGCCATTATGGTAAAGAAAGGGAATTGAGTACGGGTCTTGCAAAAGGAGGTTCTTGTATATTGGTTAGAAATGATATTGATTCTATTTTCTTGGTGAAATTAAATGTGTGTTCAGTTGACATTTTTTTTAAAATCTCTATTATACGTCTTACTATGATAAAAATTATCTTACTTTGCATCTACAGGTCTTCAACAAAGTGAGCATTAGATTATACCACTTTCTTACAAAAAGTAAAGATAACTCTTTTGGATTCATATGCAGAGATTGAGTTTCTGTTTAAATCTTGCAGAAAAGGGAAATTTCTCAATTTAATTAATTATTTCAGTTTAGATATGACAATAAATGTATCTACATGGATCACACTTAATTCACACAAGGCAATCTGTCAAAAAGTAATTAAACAAACCCACTACTGGGTATGAAATTGCAATGAAAGACTGGGGGTACAGTGGCCACAGTGCACAAATTCCTATCATTATAAGAAATGCAAACGTTGACACAATAATTAATACATGTATCTGTAGATTGTGTACTAAAAGTAAAATACAATTATATTTACTACTATTATAACTATTACAGACTACATGCTCCAAGAATCATGGGACACAGTTTACAATAAAGTTGATACCAAATGTGTAATACATTTTTTGTTTTCATTTTTCTTTACGCATGGTTTTCTCTTAAAAGAGAAAATTAAACTTTTCACAGAAAAGCAATTCTTAGATGGATTAGAACATCATGTAAAAACAAACTAATTTTATATTTCATTTAATCACAGCGTATCTCATGATTTCCACCTAAATACACTGAAGAGCCAAAAATCTAGTACACCTGACTAATATCGTGTAGGGCCCCTGTGAGCATGCAGAAGTGCTGTAACATGACGTGGCATGGATTCGATTAATATCTGAAGTAGTGCTGGAGATAATTGACACCATGAATCCTGCAGGGCTTGTCCATGAACTCGTAAGAGTACGAGGGGGTGGAGGTCTCTGTAGGAAGTCTAGGTAGCAATTCTGGACATGTGGGCTGTCGCGTTGTGCAGCTGGAATAGCCTAAGTTCGTAGGGATGCACAATGGACATAAATGGGTGCAAGTGATCAGGCAGAATACTTACGTACATGTAACCTGTCAGAGTCATATCTAGATGTATCAGAGTTCCCATATCACTCCAACTGCACCCATTCCATACTGTTGCAGAGCCTCCACCAGCTTGAACAGTCCCCTGCAGCAGCAATTTGCGGAAGGGTTGCACTCCTGTCATGTGTAATGATTCCCCTCAGTCGTCGGTCCCATTCTTGCATGATCCGTTTGCGGCCGCAGAGATGTCGGAGGTTTGATGTTTTACCTGATTCCATATATTCACAGTACACTCATGAAATGGTCGAAGGGGGAAAGTCCAAACTTCATCGCGACCTCGGCGATGCTATGCCCCTTTTCTTTTGCGCCGGCTATAACACCACGTTCAAACTAACTTCAATCATGATAACTTTCTATAATAGCAAGTTGTATTATATGTAGATATATATAACATATAGTCGTTGATGACCGGAGCACCGTATTCTGATGGGTTCCAGATCTATTTCAATATGCATGGCTATACCAGTTTTTTTGGCTCTTCAGTGTATTGTGTTCTATTTCTGAGGTTCTCTTTCTATAAGCAGTAGTTCGGAGCACCCTGACTGGACCTTGGGATTGGTTTATATAGATTTGAGAATGAAAGGCAGATTAGAAAGCTTGAAAAGGAAACTCTTGAAGGAAAATGTCACAGACCATTAAGGAGACTGTGTCTACTTGTAGGGATGGTATTATTGTTAACTTGACCATATGTATTTCCAAGGGATAGTTGAACCAAGGGAACTTGAAATCTACTGCCTTTCAAGTTCTTGTTTGAGATGACAGTTAAAATATAAATGTCAACTTTTTACAGAACCAATTCTAATTTCAAGCCCTGAGAGCAAGAGTGGCCTAACTGTCATCTACAATTATGGCAATTAGACCACTTGCTCTCGTGGCTGATTGAAGTTTGTTCATTGTTGCACTCAGGGTCTCATTTGTATTTTGTTCATTGTTTTAGAAATTAAAGCAGCGAATTCAGATCAATTCCCAAAAGAAACAGACATCCTCATCAGAAATAGAGGCCAGTCAAGCTGCTCAGAAGAAGGTAAACTTACGGATTTTATTTCCTCATAATTAAATAGCCATTTTTTTGCAACCTTGTGCTTGAGCATGCTGTTTTATAAAAGCTCTTATTATAATAGTTTTATGTAGTAAATAACCGTGGTAATAAGCATTTATTTCAGAGAATACACATACTTGTTTGTGATGTAATTACCTGTGGACATAATTTTGCAGCTTTAGTTGAATGAAATAATAGATTGTTTCTGTAATTTTCATTGACATTTGATTAGTGATGCAAATTGTTGCTACAGTGTGGAAAGAAGTAAAATATTAATTACTTTTTTGGAATTTTTTTCTCTTCTATCATATCATAGCAGCAAATGTTGAATTTCTCGAAAAAGCCTTATTTTCAACTCAACTGTGGAGATGTGTATTCTAATTATTATCGGCATAAGTCATTGTGTATTCTATGTTGACAGGTTAATTATGTCATAATATTGTATTTTACAACTAAAAATGTCTCTTGATTTGTCAGACTGCTGGCCAGCTAGCTCTTCGATTACCATCTTCTGAAGGCTCTGACACTAGTGGTTCAGCGAACTCTAGAAGTAAAAGATCATCATTGAACCCTTCTTCAGATATGGATGAACAGAAAATGAGATTTAGAGAAAGAAACAGGTATGTGCAAGAAACCGTGGAACTTCTTTCCTCAACAGTTTGCCAGTATATAATGCATATCAGACTAGCCAAAAGAGTGTTTTGTTATTTATCCCCACAACTTTTTTGTTGAACTTTTTGTTCTAAGCTTTATACAGTAAACTCTGAAATGAAACTTTCTAAATAACAAATGAAATTATACAGACCTGCCGTATACCCTATTGCCCTATTTATTTGAATATAAGATGACCCCCTAATTTTGAAGAGGCCTCCTGAGAATTTTTAAAATGTTTAACTAATACTTACTATTTTGTCAACATAAAATTGCAAATTGTCTAATTGACTACAAAAATGTCTGAGCTTTATTAATGCCAATAAGAATGTTAAAAACTCATTGAGTGAGCTATTACTGTATTCTAGTTCCTTAAAATCACAAACCCCTTTTTTGTCCCTATCCTCTTTCTTTGTCACATGTGTCATTGTTTCTTTTTTAGTCCTCCCATTCTGTGCAGTCTGCCTTCGTAGGTTACTCTGAAAGTTTTGCATGTTGAATTTGTGTTCTCAGACTTGCTGCAAGTTTCCAAGTTCTTTAAGTTTGTGCTAAAACAATATTTTATCATTATTTTTTGTGGTTGGATGTAGAATGCATACTTCTATCAGTTTGAATTTTTTCATTTCCATCTCTTGCCAATTGACTTGCCTTCTAATCCATGGCTTGCTGATCCGTTAAAAAAATATCGGTGTGCGTTGACCGGCAAATTCATGGTGGATGTCAAGAATATGCCCACAAATATAATTAGATATTCTAGATATGTGTGATATTTTTATTCTTTCCACAGCAACATCAACATTATGAGTTTCACAGAGAGGTGGCTCAGTGCATAAACTGACATCACTGTAGTGCCTTTGATCGGGAGGTCCTAGGTTCAAGTCTCGACAGTGGGAAGATTTTCGACACTAGCTTGTCAGCTAGGTCGAATTCAGTCACTGTCTGGAGGAGAATTCTAGAGGCCGACTGCTCTGGTCAGTAGTTTTCCATGGTTTCTCCAATCAACACCAGGCAAACGCCAGGGCAGTACTCTAACAACGGGCCATGCACAACAGAACACAGTACCTAAAGGGCCACTGAAACTGTAGATGTTTAAAAAAATAGTACCTCCACAATATCTTGCAACATATTGCGTGCTGGCAATCGGTGAACCATTTTCAACAAATACTTTCAAAGTGGTATCGGTGAAAGAATGATGGCATAAAGAATAAATACACAGTGGCCAAGCTAGTTATGTGCAGTACCTGCTTGTGGACCCAAAGCGCACATTGGATTTTATTCCTTTCTTGGCAGTCCACCAGTAACTTCTGAAGGACACATGACAAATGTGTGAAAAACCAACACCAGTTCTGCAGTTGGTGGATTTCCACATAATTACTTGGAATTCTTATAATGCAACAACATCACCCATTTACATGACAGGGGCCTATTTATGAACCAACACCACAAAAATGCTCGAAGTGAAGTGAAGTCAATCATGTACACAATATATTAGTCATACATTATTTTGTCTGACAATGCCAGCAAAAAATGTTTTTCGAAATCTTGGGTGTGTCGAAGTGAACAATCTAAAGAGTATTGTTTTGTAAAATAAAGGTAATACAGTAAATGATAACTTGCGTGATAATTATGCCTAATGTTTAATGTTGCATGTTAATTATCATTTTCATAAAACTCACTATAAGGAATACTCTAATTAACACCAAATGTTCCCTGGTATTCATTAATTAGAGAGTTTATTGTATTTGACCTTTGTTAGGGTTATAAACACTTACAACATGAAAATCACATTATGAAATATTAGTTTCAATAGGTTTTTAATGGCTCAGTGGACTTATAAGACTTCTGAAGAGGAAAACATAAGAAATATTTACTTTTATAAAAAGTAACATTTTAACAATTGAACAAATTAACAAGAAAACACATTTGAATGATTTCCTTTTCTCTTTCACAGAGCTGCAGCAATGAGATGTAGAGAAAAGAGAAAACATTGGATACTTGAGTTAGAGAAACGTGCTGATGACACTCAAAAAATGAATCAACAATTAACTGCTGAAGTAACCAAATTGCGCAGTGAGCTTGTGCAATTAAAAACCCTCCTTCTTGCACATAAAGATTGTTCAGTTACGAAAGCCATGCAGCAGGGTATGTGAAACATTTTTTTCTAATTCTTATAAAGTGAGTTCCTTTCAGAAGTAGCTCCAGAAAATGTTTGTTTAAACTTACCAAAGTTTAAAGTACAAAACATTTATACGTCATTCATTCCAGAACTATTGGTATACACTATATATTGTTTTATAGAAACGTAAACAGTATCTTGAAATATTTACTACAGGAAATCAATGTTTAGGGTCTACCTTTAAGTGCGACATCGTGTACTATAAGCTGTATTAATCAGTGTTTTAAAAATCTGCATAATTAAATATTTGCATAATTTTGAAATAAGTATTAAAATAAAAGAATGATGCTTTGTTTTTAAAAAATTAAATTTCATTCATACGGGTTAATTTTAATTTGTTTATTCATCTCTTAAATGTTTTTATTCTTTTGCTACATACAGTAAAAAGTTTGTTTGAAATGGATGAGAAAGGGTTTGTAAAATTCCCAATTATAAATACAAAACTTATTTAGTTAATTTTGGATGAGAAATTAGACTTTTTAAATTGCTTAAACACAATGTTTCTCTTTTATGTCTTGTTCTTCTTCGTCTCCTTCTTCTGGCTCTTGTTCTTTCTCTTCTTTGTCTTCTTCCTCTCCTTCCCCTCTCCCATTCCTTTTTTCCTCTCTTTCTTCCTCTTCTTTTTCCCATCTTTCTTCCACTTCTTTTTTCCCTTTTTCATCTTTCTCTCCTTTTTTCTCCTTCTTCCTCTCCTTCTTCCTTCTCCTTTCCAATTTAGGCATGTTTACTTGTTCCGGCTTCACCATCTTGTCAGTCGGCCAGCATTTCTTTTTCTGGAAGATGTGTAATTCAGGATCTTCTTTGGTATTCGTCCATCTCATTCCATCTTCTTTTCTAACCTTTTGCAATTTCTATTATTGGTTGCATCTGTAATTCTTGCCTTATTTTATCCATCCTAATAGCATGCAACCTTTCACTGGTCAAAGAAATTTTATTTCTGATGTTTGTGTCTTTGATCATTTACTTTAGATGCCCATGTTTTGGAACAGTACAATAACATGGGAATGGCCACAAATTTATAAAATTTTATTCCCACATATTGATTGATAGTTATATGTTTTTAGTAATATTTTTGTCTTCTTATGTAATACCATATCCCAAATATTGATGAAGTGTGATACTCGTTCTATATTTGGATTGAATCTTTTCCTAGGAGTGCAATGATCTGTCTTTGATATGGAAATTTTTAAATTGAAGACATTAACAGATAACAAATTGAGTTTGTGGATAGCCAATTGCAATATATCTTTGGTATCTTTGGTATCTTTGTTTTTCATTTGTATTGCCGATGACCAGATATATATTCGTTTTTCCTGGCTCCATTCTCCATGAAACCTTGAGTTACCTTTAAAGTCAGTTATGCCTCTAATTGTATTTTAACATCTTTTTCAGGACTGGGAATTGCTATCGGAAAACCTTCAAATACTGTAAAAGCATGTTCTGTGACAGAAATTCAGGTGCAGCACTCTGCAGTTTCTGTTCCTCAAGTGCCAGTGACCATTCCAGGAACTCTAAATGTTTGTCCATCTCCAGAAGATCCTCTTCCAAAAGTAGTGCTTTTGAGTAAACCAGCAGGTTTGAAGAGACGACGACAAGCTACCTTGCCAGCATTGGCTGTGGAGAATGGTACAATTAGTTCAAAGGACTCCCAAACCGAGCAGTCAGACACAGCACGTGTTGTAACAATAACACAGCCAATATCTGTGATACCTTCTAGATCCCAAGGTCATCAGGTAAGGTGAGAGTTACTGGCAATTTCAAATCATTCTCATCCCTGGATGACTGCAGAAAGAAGTTCAAAATGTTTAGTGATTGTAAAAATAAATCCTCCAGTACAAAAATTGGTCCAGTTTCCTATCAGCTTGAATGAGTCTTGTATCTTACTCAAATTTATATTGTTCAATTACTCACTTTATTAGTAAGAGATCAAGTTTTGTAAAATTTTAGAGATATGGAATACATGCAGAACTGAAAGAGATATTTGTACTAGAGTTTTTGAACGTGAAGTTTGTAGAGTATTTTGAACTACGTGTTGTGTTTAGTCAGTGCTATTTGAGAGACAAAAAAGGTTTTTGACATTGTATTATTTTTTGCTATATTTTATATGTAATTATTGCTATAATTTTATTGTATTTAGTTAACTTATATTGCATGCCTTTTGTTCTGTATTGTTGACTAATGTAAATTAAATGCAGTCATTGAGTTTTTATTGCTATTGTGGCTGTTAAAAAGAGATAAACAATCTTATTTTTTCTTAGATATCAGAAGATAAATCAAGCATCATCTCCAATTCAATTACTACAGCTCCACCAACTTGTCTAATAACTGTGGGAGAACCCACTCTCATTTCAACTGGTGTACCTGGTCAAAGCATTAGCATCAAACCAGAAGCACTGGCATCTACCTCATATCTTATGCCTACCAAACTATGTCTTCCAGAAAATAATTCAACTTTACCTCATATAATTAAATTGAACACAAACATTCTCAAAACAGGTGTCACTGAAGCAATGAAGACAAATAATGTGAGCCATTCAAATGGTGACAGTATGGATTCAGGACATGGAAGTGACATAGAAGTATTGGCAGAAATACCATACAAACCGGATGTTAAGAGTTGAGAAATATTTTATTAGATGTATATAATTTGTACAGTGTATTGAAATTTGTTGACCCAAATTCTGTTAGATTAATTTTGTAAGTTCCTTGTTGTGTTTGTGTCTGTGAAGCAGTATTTTAATATCAGATGGAAAGAAAATAGGTATCAGTGAGAATTTGTGAATTGAATGAAACAAGGTGCATATTTATTTTACTTGTATAAAAATATATTTATAATTTAGTTTTTAATTGACATATATATTTATTTATTTGTTTGAAAGTAAGACTGGTATGCAAATAAAACATTTGCACTATTTAAATTATATATATAGCCATAAGTCTCCAAAAGAAACTTTAATATTTTAAAAACTATGATATTACCCTTAAAGAAATCCATTAATAGAATAAATAGGAATTATTAGGTTTTTTGAGTGAAGTACATTTTGATTATCATAACTTACATGCCTGTCATGAGCTTTTAAAAATTTACATTATTTTTATTATACATCATTGACATTGACTATTAGATGATTCATCTAATAGTCTCTTTTATGGAATTCTAATGTAATTAAAAATTTAACAGTTCATTTCTGGTTTCATTTGTGCTCTGAAATCCATAGAGTTCTGGGACATAGTTCATATTTTATCATGTTTATAAGTGACAATAATAACGGTAGCATGTTCCATGTATTTAAGCAATATAGTGCATACCTTCTTTGAAAAGACATTTCATTCTGAACACTTATTCTTAACATCCTTTTTACTTTCTCGTGTAAGTAGTAAAGAGAAAGTATTGTAATGCTGTGATTTTATTTTCTTTCTTTCTTCTCCAAAAGGGTCTGTCTGTCTTTTTGTATGTGGACAACACTATCTTCTAAACTGTTCACAGGATTTTCTCCAAATTAATGTTTCCTGATTGATTTGGTCACACTTGAGGCTCTGCAATTTTGACATAGATCTTATTATTTTGGGGGAATTTTATACGAAGGCTCTAGGACATTTCCAAAATGTGTTTACAAATGACTCCAAATTTTCTCTTGAAATTGTTTTGCTCAAACAGCAAGGTATGCTTATAAAAATTATGCAAATTTAAAAAAACATGAAATTTTTAAAATTAAAAAAGTTTTGGATGCCCTCCTTCAACTACATTACTGAAGAGAGGGATTTTTTTTTAAACAAAATCAAAATGAGATCTTTAAATAATATTATCTACCCGAAGTGAAGCCGTAAAGTCTTTTAAAATATTTAAACAAGATTCAAAAACTTCTTTAAATTTTTCTTGGAATAGATCAAAGATTGCTTGGTAATTAAAATAATAAAACCCCTAAAATTTCTAAAATTCCAAAAGTTCAATTTTACTTTTAATTTTTTAACTTGTTCTAAAGATTTTTTAATGAAATATATTCCTCAATATTAGGTCTTTAAAATCTTTTCTTGAACAATTTTTAAATATATATGTGTAGTTTTCACATAGTTTTGAGTTATGTGGTAGAAACACTGCAACATAAGAGTTTCATTAAACATTTTTAATGAACTCCTTTTGACACATAAGTCAGTTGTTTCAGGGAATGCCTCAGGCAATTTTCATTTAAACTTTTGAACTTTCAAAAAATGAAAGATGTTTATTTTTCTCGTGTCCCTCACATTGTTTAAGAGTTTTTAAAATTATGACTGACTTGTTAGTTGGATGGAAGTAGCAATTTTATTACTTTATGTAATTGTTATTACCAATAACACAAGAAAGTATGTGCTGTTGTGCACTGCTAGTTATGTTTTTAGATAACTTTGTTTTCATTAAAGAAACATTAGTAAATCAAATGGCTCTTCCTATATCTGTGGTGCTCAATTTGAAAATTGTCTTTTAATTTCCAACAGAAACTTTTCTAATGATGTATCTATATTGTGAAAATATGCAAAAAGTTGCTGGGTTATGGCTGAAAGAATGATTACGATCACTACAGTAACCTGGCAAGGGAAATTACACCACACTGTTATGCAACATGAAAGTTTCTGCCTTGTTTTTACATTATCTGCAGAAAAAATGTGTAATTGTGATATTGATTTGAGATTAAATCTACTAGACAACTACTTTATGAAGTTTAGCAAAACCCATGTCAATGTGTTGTTTTTATATAGTTTTGCATTTCTAGTAACCTTCAATTTCTGATCTGTACTTTTTCCAATTATGATTATTTCTGTAATATAATGTTGTGAATGTTTATTCTAAACTGTATTGAGAAGTAAGCAAAGATGATCAACTGCAAATTGTCATTAATGAATTGATGCTGTGTTTTCTTATCATAAAGGCCACAAAAATTAATTATGTATTGTTTCAGCAGAAAACATTTGTTTTCTTCTTAGTGCCACAGCTTATCACATACAATGAATTTATTATTTATTCTTTTATTTCATAACTGTATTCTAGCTGTTACCTACTTTTTTAATTGTTTTGCGTCCTTTACACCACACATCTCTCTAGTTCTTTTTTGGCATTGAGTATGTATACATTGGAGTAATCCTCAATTAAGTTATTTGTTATTTGTCTTGTAACATCACAGTCAATCGATGCCTTTTATTCTTTTAACCAGGGGCTCGGCACCGTTAGTAACGATGGTCACCTATCCAGGAATCTGTGGTATCGCAAATTGCTTAACTTCTGTGACTTCACAGACCATAGTTTAGCAATTCATCAAATGACTCCCTTCACTTTTAGTGAACTTGGGTTGAAGATAGTTTCATCAAAATAAATCTTCAAGAATATTGTCAAAGAAGAAGAAAAAATTCATCAAAAAGACAATTATTATAATTTATATCTTTCATCTTAATCCACATTGTTTCAATTATTTATTGTATAATACCATTTCTTTATTCTTTCTTCAGCTAGGAATGTTATAAATGTTTTGTTACATTACTAATGACTGGCATACAAAGAAAATTATTATAATTTACTTCTAATTTATTCCTAATTAATCATTTATTATAGCAATTTAAACATTTTATAAGTATTATGATGTTATAGATTAAAAGTTCAGAGAAATGTTTTAGCATAGATGTAGGACAAAATTGTATTTTCTAAAATAAATAAATAAAATCTTAAGTTAACCTAGTGGTTGGCAAACATGAAATAGGCTAACAAATTTTCACCAGATATTCTATTAACATGCAACTACACATTTATCTTACAATGAGTACAATGTGCAAATTTAAACTTGAAGAGTGTTACAAACAGCTGAATTTCTTGTTCATATTAAAAGACAGACTTACATTTAGTTCACAAAATATTTTACTTTTGCTGCAATCTTAGGATGGCAGCAAGTTCTGAAACAAGCAGTTTCACATTTCTTTAAGTAGTAGTTCACTAAGACTATTTTTAAATTTAATCTATTAAACTGGATATTCTACTAAATTTTTACGCTTGCAAAAATGCATAATGTTTCTAATGTTATTTGTCTTTTTTCTTGTTTCAAAATATTCAAATTTTTTTTGACTGGTGAAAATTGATACGAGACGAAAGGTGCAGGTATTTAAGCAGTGCATAATCTGTGAAATTATTTGCCCAATTTCATGCATATATTTTCAATTCATTGCTAAATAATTTTATAGGTCAATTTTATAACATTTTTTTATGATCTTTTGCTTCAGTCATATTCTTTTATTTTTTCTTTAAATAATGTTTTAATACAAATTATTTTCATGACATAACAATAAAAAATGTACAACAAATAAAACTACATTATATATTACGCTTTTGTAATATTTTCTATATTGACTGTGCAAAAGTATTTTTAAATTAGGTCAGAGCACTAATCTGAACTAGATTCTCTTGAAGCAAAGATTTAAGACTGAGATTGTTAAAGTTTGTTTTGGAGGCAATTTTTTAGTTAGCAGTATAAATATTTTTTAATATTGTAGAACCCCCACTGGTTTTACAACAAAAATGGTTATGTGTGTTTTAAGAATGCTTAGAACTACAGGCAAGAAACAAACAAAGAGTATGCAATAGCTTGTAAGTGAATTTGTTTAATAAATATTATTTGTGGGGGGGAAATGTTGAAACTCAAATATTGTACAAGTATAAAATTGTAGTTTGTGTTACCTGATGGAAAATTTTGACAGTTTCATACTTTGTTTCTTGAGGTTTTTAAAACCACCATCATTAACGTACATCACATATGAAATAAAAATATTGAAAGGATAAGATTTTTATTATAAATACTCTTTTGTTATGATTATGCCATTTCTTTCATTTTAATTAGTTGCCTATTCAAATGATTATTTATAATAAAACTCTTGGCATTTGCTCTCTTTCTTCGCTTGAAAGAACTGCCTTAATTTTACCAATAACTCTGTATTACTTCAGTACTGAAAAATGGTGATTTTAAATTGTATTTTTCTCATGGGAGTGTGATTTTTAACTCCAAGTATGTATTAGTCTCTCCTCATGTAGTCTTCATGTTAACATGTAAGCCATGCAGAGAAGTGCAAATATTTTGTAAGGTAAGCATATGAATGTATATATATATTTATATAAATCTTATCAGTTATAATAACTGTGGCAAATTATTTGATTTAAAATTTACCATAATCTAAGACAATAGCAATAATTGCCCTTGCTTTGTGAAGGTCTTATAAGAATGAATTATTGTTGTCAAGTTATAAAATTAAGTTTATATATAGAATTTCCCAGTGTTTCTGGAAGGTGTGGCTCCAGAAACTGACATTGTAATGATAAGGCTTTCATGTTAATCCTTACAATGCCACTGTAAACCAGACCAACTGCTATGAAAACTGCCACAGAGAATTTTAGTAAAATGCTGTAATATTTTTTGCACCCTTATGTTTGAAGGGGTCTCAGTTTTTTTCATGGAGAAGAGTGGGGATGTAACTAGGAGCAGACAGGGCATGTGACTCAGTTGGGAAGTGGCACTAAATTTAATCCTTTACTTTTGAAATCGCGCATTGACTCTCTCCTCCAGAGTTCTTGCCATGGGTGAAAACTAAACTAGTTACATCCCGGGGGAAGATAAATAATTTTTTGTCTCAATCTGTGTAGTATTTAAGGTACAATTTTATTGAATCTTTTTGAAAAAAATAATTAACTCAACATTTTTCAAAATTTTAAGATTTTCCTAATGTAAATTGGACTGCTTACACTATAATTGTATTTTTGATTTCTGAAAACTACATAAACTGACTCTATTCACATCAATGATTAAAATAAGAAAATTTGTTATATAACTCCTGGTTTACAAATGACAATAATATTTATTAATAATGTGAAACTGTTTCTTCCCAACTGCCATATTGTTAAGTGATATCGTAGGCTTCCGTGGCCAGTCATGATCTGGGATGTCCGGGTGTTGCCGAGTCGATGGCTGAGGTGTACCTCAGCCATCGACGCAACGTCACCCGGACAGCCCAGATCATGCCATATTGTTCTGTTTGTCTCAGATGCCTAAAATACCCCTCGTGACTTTACACTAGAAAAAAACAACATATTTTATTTGAAACTATCAGTTAAGATTTTAACTAATATACTAATATATAGAAGTATGTTACACTATCTGTTGCTGAAAATGTGTATTAAAAGTGCATATAAAGCTGCAGTTTGCTCTGATCAGCTCTTGGCAGTTTTGCTGCAAATGGTGCATCACCTTTTGTTGGCTCTTGGTGTGTAAGGGTTAATGATGAGAGGACCATAAAAAAATCATTAATCTGTTAAATTTTGACAACAAGTAGTACTTCAGTAACTTTTAGTACCAGAACATTTTTTCTTCTTGAATCCTAAGAACTAATCTGCCATTCTGGAGATTTTTGTAAGTGTAAATGCCTAAATCATTAGGCCGAAATTATCTGACGCAATCATTACATCTGGGCAAATTAAGTAATACTGGTAAGAACTGTTTCTCAACCTTCATGATGCTGTGAATAGTTCTGAATTACTGAATCTTTAATAAATGTATGTAAATTGGGAACTAGATTAAATTTTGTTGAAAGTGAATTTACCTTTTATACCACAAAAAATGAAAATCAGTTCAAAAAATCAAACTATTTATGTGCATTTACAGTAAAGCTACTACAATAAACTATCACCTTCATTTTTGAATAATGCAACAAAAAAAGGAACTAATAAATTCTAAGGATTGGAAAATGCCCCCCCCCCCTTCCCCTTAAAAAAGCAAAAGAAATTGTAACCAGTTTACCCTTCTATTAGTTGATATAAATTTCTAAAAGGAAACAGAAAAAGCAAATATTTGGCTGAGATATTGTTTTACATCTAATATTAGTATCTTGGGATACTAATTTGATGTTCTTGGTGAACAGCATTCTGTGTTTTGACTTAAAAGTTGAGAATCACTAAATTTGTAATTATTTCAGGAAAAACAATTTCCCTTCAAGATTGATACTACTTTGATGTTCCTAATTATGCAATATCAGAAATTCCCTACAATTTTTTTTCAATTTTAGTCAAATTTGTAACTTGCAACTTACAAATTCTTGTGGCAAGACCTTCATGTTTTCAAACATGTGTTCTCTCCTTGATATAGTGTTCAGTTACTACATATTGATGGCTAAATTTTAACAGCACATCTTAAAATTTGACCATTTTGAGACAGTAATGTCACCCAAAAGATAAGATCTGTTGAATTCTAATGACACATATAATAGAAATTAACTGAAAAATTGTTAAAATGCTGGAAATGGGTCACATTTTTATTAGCTGATAATAAAAACTTTGAGATAACAATTTTTTGAGATAAGTGTGTTTAAAATTTAGCCATCAATATATACATTGGATGATCACTCTATTTGAACATTATTACAAATTTGTCATTATGTTAGTGGAGCAATGATCAGTAATCATCTGTTCTATATTATAACAACAGTTGACAGATTTAATAAAATTTATTTTAATGTTTTATGGCATCATTCATTGTTTAGAGCTATTGATTTTTTCTTCCTTCTTTTTTTCCACAACTTAAAGGCTTGGGAAAAATTATTTCCTAACCTTAATCTTTAGTCTGCACATGAAAAACATTTTTTTTTCCTCAAAGGCAATTTCTTTTGAATAGAACTGTTGGAAAGAGAGAATGATAAAAATTGAATCATCATAATCACCTACCTATTAAGGTTTAGGTCTGAGGTAAGAAGCTGTTCCAGTATCCCCTTAAGTCACTGCTGAACTGTTTCTTATGTTACATGCTCACATTTTTTCGGCCCTTGAATACCTACCCCCCACTTATTTAATAACATTAGTTGAATTCAGAATAAAATATCTGATAACCAGAAGTGCTTGCTTCTCCATAATATAAAGTATTTTGCATCAAAAAACAAGCTACAGATTTGATATAATAGTCCTGTTGACAAAATAATTAAACCTCTGCATTCTTGGCTATCCGGGAACTAATTAATCCTCTCCCTTTTGCAGTAGGGAAATAAAGGTTCAAGAAAATAATATTAATAATGTATTTAAACTTTGATATATCAATTATCAATAACCTTTAATTTTATTTCATAAATGTTGATAGCTGTTAACAAAAAGCCGCTGATTATTTTGATTCTCCCCCCATTACTGATTAAATTGTCCTCATTTTGGAAATGTTCAAGTTCTGTTAACTTAATAGAAATCTGTATAAGTACACCCCCAATTTCGTCTCATATCCTCCCTATTTAGGCTATGTTTCAATTTTTCAGCGATTGTTTTTACGTACAGTATATGCGAAAACAATCGCTGATATCGCCCATTTCTGCGGCTATCGTTTGCAATACCATGATTTTTTTAACGTAAAATCACTAAAAATATGAACCAATTTTCATCGGGATTAATGTTTTATTTTTGCACCCGCAATTGAAGGAGTCGCCGTAGCATTTGAGGAATTTTTAATTTTTCTTTAATTGATTATTTTTGTTGAAATACGCGGATATTCCGCTCTATGAATTTACGTTTTAGATAGCCGCTTCACAGGTTAGCCAATCTACCGATTGAAATTTACCTGATTCCAGTAAATTTCATTTGACGCGCGCTCTTTGTTGTTGTTTCTGGCCATAAGTGTGACATGAGAACCGCGAAACTATGGAATACTCACTACTGATTTTATTACGTTTTTAGATTTTTTTTCATAAATATATGTATAAATTTTTCATACAACATTCTGTACCTGTATGGACTGAACAAATTCGTAGTTCCGTGAAATTTCGTGAGTAAACTTAGGTTAGGAATGAGAGGTAATAGTAAAATTGTTATTTATATTACTCTTATACACACTATCATTCAGAGTAATAATGTTGATTGTTGTGTGTACAAAATGTGGTGAAGCGAATAGAAATGTTATTCAGAGAAGTTGTAGGAATTGTCATTTGAAATTGTAATAGTGCAAATGCAAAAAATAATTTTGGGGAATGGAGGAAAATGAGAAAGATGAATCACTGCAGAAGAATGACTCAAGAGAGAATAATCTACATAATGTTACTTTACGTGAGAAGGTACGAGTGGAAGGAAGGAGTGTCAAGGTAGAGTGCATTGTTTTGAGTTGTCATAAATTACAATCACAAGTAAATAATCTCTTATTTTATTGTCTGTAATATATCACTGACACGCTTGTATATCATTTTGATTTAATTTCATATTTAGTAGTGTTTGAGTTGAAATAATCCCTTTTGTGTCGTATCATGTGATAGGAGAGACCTATAATATGTGTGTTTGGTGTATTTTGTGCTTATTGTAAGATTGTTATTGCTAGCATTTTTGTTTGACAGTGTGACTATCCAGTGCCTAAATGTCGTGGTTTAAAACCAGCTGCTGGCACTCTAGAACGTGATCTATGGTGCTGGTACAGAACCCGAGCATCTAAAGTACCAAAGCATGTCATTCAGTTGCGAGCTCGTTGGATATTTAAACAAGCTGGCATTACAAATTTTAAGGTCATTTTAGAAAATAAAATATTTATATATCATAAATTGATTTTTCTGTTTTTTGCTTTTCATCTCTAACAATATGTTTCATACAGGCTTCAGATGGTTGGTTCAGACGTTGGTACAGAAGATGGAGGAAATTTAGTAAAGAGAGTGATAACTCATTTCAAGAAGCTAATGATTTAGAAACTTGCTTTTCAAATGACAAGGAGGATCAACAGATTGAAAGTATCAGTGATTCTGTAGTAGAGCAACTTGCACCCTCTGATGAGGTCCTGACAACAAACAGTGCAGACAAAATTATTACACCCTCTTTTGATGATCCTCTGGAGACTTCTTTTCCATGTTTGGAACATAAACGAATTCCAGCACATACTGGAACACCGTCTTCCCAAGAGATAAAAGAAGATGAAAAACTTTCTACTCCGATTCATGATAACTTTGAAAAATATTCTCGTACCTCTAAAACTCCTAGACTGAAAGACTGTGAACTTATTAAATCTAATTGTTCCCCTGACATTGCAAGAAGAGGGAAAGTATGCAGGAGACTGCCAGAAGTTGCTCGATTGAATGGTTGTACCACCATTGCAACAAGAAAGAAGAAAGGAAATAAAACACATAAGCAGGTGTGGAAATATTTGATTTTTGCTTTTGCAAAATAATTTCATGTAAATGCTTAATATTTATCTACATTTATTGTTAACTTACAGTTGATGTTTATTTGAATTGTACTTTTATAATTTTGTGATGCTGATGTAATTTTGAGTGCCATAAATTACAAAATAATGAATTAAAAATGGTAGTTATGGATTATGTGCACAATTGACAAAATCATGCTATCAAATTTTGTAGAAACTTGTAATTAAGTTTGAAGCTGGCTCAGAGCGAAGTCACTTGCCGTTAACCAAGGAGATTCAGGTTCGATTCCTGAACAATCTCGTGTGAAATTTGTTCTGACAAAGAGTTTGGCTGCTTCACAGGGGCTAGTCCAACTCCTGTGAAGTGTCCTAAATCCTACCCCTTTCCTAATTCCTTCCCAATTTTGGCCGCTGGTTAGTGACACTGGAGCGTGTAAGAGAGAGGAGCGTACATAGAAATGCTACCTGGCAGTCCTCTTAACAACTGACTTTGAGACTGGCCAGTAGACCAACAAAATTAACAGAGGATTACTCCAAACAAAAAATGAAAAAAATGTTAATGGAGGATTACTCCCAGCCAAGCGCTCAACACCCTCCTGAAGTTTGGAAATGCATTGCAGAAAAAAAGGGGGGGGGGAAGGGGGAAGCAAGGCATTTTTTTCCAAAATTCTTAAAGGGATTTCGTGGATTTTTTCTGAATCAATGGATTTTGTTGTATTGTTTCAGTGAAATTAAGAGTAATGTGTAAGTTGGACACCTAACATTTCCTAAAATTTGTTTTACTTCCAATTGTATATATGAAAATTCTTTTCTAAAACACGACACACACATATTCATCATAATTAATTATACATTTGTTATCATGCATAGGGTGGTGTGTAATTGTTAAGAATTATTATTGTTTGTTCTAACTAAAAACAAATGTTGAAAATATTTGAAATCTTATAAAACAGCCGTAAGGTAGAGTGATTTTTTAACCTGTTTGGCAAGTTTTATCTTTTTTAAATATTTTTAGTGACGTAGTACATGAGTTGTTTAGTTGCAAAATAAGATTTCTTTTTTCCTTCTTTTACCCTGTCTTCCAAATTGAGACAAAAAGCGCAGTGTAAAATAAATAGGTTCTATCTTGATTGGAATGTCACTCAGCCTGCTTATGGATATGTATATTCACAAATAGAAAATTACATAATTTGGAGTGAAGGAAAAAAAATAATATATTCGGTTTTGCAAGTAGATTACTCATGTGTTTGTCCTCACTAAAATGTAGACTACTTTTCAAAATACAGTAAAACTCCTCTTTTACACTTTTCATGGCACACTAGGGAAAATAGTGTAAATAAGGCACAATTATTTTTTCTTCAAAACTATGAGTTCAGTATAATGTATTTAGATACATACAATCATTAGGATTATAATATGCAGTATTAGATAATAAATAATATTACAAGGTGAAATAGAAATATGACCAAAATTTATGACATTGGAAATCGAAGGCATATTAATCATAGCACAATAAACTTTAAATGTTGCAGTGACACTTCCATGAGTCCTTACCATCCACTGATCATAGCCTTTGACAATGCAGCAATGCACTATTGTTGGATGAAGGAAGACATGGTATTTCTACTCTAAGAAGAAAACAATACAAAGTTAATATTTTTCTAAACTCATGTTTGTTTTTTGGCAGTTTGTAATGATTTTCAAATAGTAATTTTTTATAATTATTTATGAATTGATAGAAAGAGGGTTCATAAAATCAATTTACAGTTAAAAACATACAGAGAATTCCATACTTTGATGTTTGAGATGTTAAAGAATGGGAAAATATATGTTTATTTTGGAATGAGAAAGTGTGATATTGTGAAGGAAGATGGTGTAAAATAAACAAATGATCATGGGGCTACTTCTCTTAGGCCTGTGTCACATGAGCGTTGCGTTAATGTCCATCAACTGATGCTGATGACATCAGCTGCGTCAATACTTGTGCACTTATCACATAACGCGCGTCGTAGATTAACACTATTTTATGCGGATCGGCACAAGACTTCTTTGTGACCACAGCTGAAGCAAGATGTTCGAGCTACAACGTAAATCAAGTGTGTTTTGTAGCTTTCAACACGCAACACCCCCTAGATGACGAGCATTGACAACAACACACGTCGCCAAGAGTGCTCGTGTGTCATTTGTCATACGATACAGTGGTAATCTAAGCATTAAGTGACTACTGTACGCACGATCAACACAATTGGTGTCATCAGCGTTAGGTGACGCACATCAATGCAACTCTCTTGTGCCACAGACCTTATGTTCTTCTATCACTGCATATTGGTCATTTTTCTACCTTTTTAAATACCTCTGTAATGTCATAAAACAAATGTTTGTGTAGGCCTAATTGCTCAATAATGATTTTCACTGTATTAAAATCTTCTAGTCTTCATGTAACTTTTCATAACTTTTTATAATATTGTACCATTTCAATAGCCCTTCTTTTATGGCCATTTTTATCACAGCAAGGTGGTGTGAAAGTGCAGCGGCTATAGGTTTTTTTCTTTCATTTTATTTTACAGAACACTGCTGTTATATTAAAAATGTTTGCACTGCTATTGGCCTCTAGCAAGTCTGTTAGGTACCAGTTCTGCTGCTCACCTCCTAGCCTTGTAGCAGAATATATTTGGAATCACATGTTCTTAGTGAGAAGCAAAAAATAATGATTGTGGTGCATCTACCAGCATATTATTTAAATTATTTATTTTTGTCATTTGTGTTGTTTTCATCTTTACCAAACTTTGCAAGCACACTGCAGCAATCCTGTAGAAAAAGCTGTGACAATTTTGGATGTATTCATACACTACTTTTAGTGGCATCTATGTCGGTTACATGTCATTGAATTCACTTTTATTAGTATAGATTACTTGGTTGCATCCAAAGTGTCTGATGGTAGGAGGTGTCTTGTGAATAATTGTGTCCAACTTGACAGGTTTTACAGTATAATAATAATAATAATAATAATAAGAAGAAGAAGAATAAGAATAACTGTAGTAAACAAAATTTTGAACACAAACTAAATTTAAAATGTTTAATTGAACATTCTGAAGAAATTGACTCTCTAGAAACTTTAAATCTAACTTTTCAGGCTGAGGAATATAACAGCAAGGAACGGGAACGTGTTCGGCACATAGGGAAACGATACCACCCTCAATTTAAAGAGAGAGTTCTCGCCTACCTGAAATCACATACATTTAAGGAAACTGCACGCAAATTTGGAGTGCACCAGGCATCCATCAGTGCTTGGCAGAAAGATAAGCTACGATGTAAACATGCAGAAGTAAGTTCTTTTTAGTAAACTTTGTTTCTTCCTTTAGGTTTCTTTGTAGCAACCTTTGTTACACGTTAGTCAAATCCCATAAATATTTCTATTTCCAATTCTGATGTAAATATTCCACGCTATTAGCTAAAAAAGTTTAAAGTCTTAATGAATTTACATTTATGTCCAGAAGCAAATCAAGGAATCAATCAATATTTGCTCAATGGGCCAGAGAAAGTAGGCAAAAACCCTTATCGAGATTGGAAAGACAGAAAAATTCATTTTGTGGGTTCCTGATCCCAAGAAACAATTTTTCTTTGTTCTATATGTAGTAAACCACTTTCTCATATATGTTTAGTCAGAATTCATATCGTATCATCTTTGTGTTTCTTTTCAGTCTTATTGTATGTACATTTGTTGCAATGCTTCAGGTATCCCTTTTATTTTCTGTTCTGTATTTGGATCATTGATGTACTGTGAAAAATTTTACTTCAAATCTTAAATCTTTTGGTTTTTATTTTTGCATTTGTTTTTTAGGAACAAATTGAATAAATCAGTTACGTGTTTGTTTATCTTTCTTATCTTTTTTTTAATCTCATTTCTTTCAACGAGTTATAATGCAGACCTAAAGTTTTTCTTTTTCGCAGTTTTGGTATTTCTTTTGTAGGAAGGGGCATCATCAGGGAATAGTGTGGACTCATCTCCAGCTCCTGCCGACTGCCAGTTTCTATCTTGGTTGCGCCGGGAGCGTGGGCATGCTCTCACTGCAGCAGAAGTAAGGGCATATGCTCAAAGACTGGTTTCATTGGCTGGAGGTTTGGCTGTGGTGGAGAGACAAGTACGATGGTTTGCTCTATGGGTTAACAGGTCAGTGCTCAAAAAGTATTTTAGATATGAAAATTATCTAGCTCACTATAGTTATGTACGTTTTTCACAAGTGTGTATGAATTTTTGTCTAACATTTATGAAATGTAATCATTCAAAATCATTAAGATGTATTTAATAAAAATGTGAAGTAAATCAATATTACTTACTTTTCGAAAAAAATAGCTGTAATTTTGAAGTGAATGTGTGAAGTGGAATTGTAATAATCATAAGTGAAATAAAATATCACTTCACTTACAGATTTCCAGGCAAAGAAAAGAAATTTGAAAACCTCTTAATCACAATATTATTTTAGTACAACTGTTTTGGCTTTTATTTGATTCCATTTTTACAGGTATGATGAAAAATTTTATGAAGAAGGAATGGAAGATATTAATGATATTAGAGTGTGTGAACGCCGCATTCAGTATCCTGCAGCTTTCAGGATGGAAGTTGCAGCATATGCTGCAAAATATTCTCAAATGGCTGCTGTACGTACCTTTAATGTATCTAGAAAACGAGTTTTTGAATGGTTACGTTCATGGCAAGATGTATCTATTACAGGTAAGAATTTTATTGTTTCATCATGATTGATCTCTCTTTTTTTTGTGGTGGTGGTCTTTTATGGTTTCTCCTTCTACACTGAATTACCATGCGTTCACTATGACACTATCTTGGAGAAATTGATTTACTTGTCCAAGATTCAAGTAATTACTCTGATTGATATTTCATAATCGCAAGGGCAGAATACTTGTATGTAGTGAAGACGTGCTTAATTCTTGATTGTGTGGCAGGTTGTGTAGAGGTCTGTTGCCCTTGAGTCCTCATAAGCAAATAAATCATCATCAACAACACCCCATATTTCCAATTGAATTCAAACCACTCTTTAAACACTCTCTTTACTAATAACAACAAAGTGTGAAAATCTTAGTAAAATTGATCTAGTAGTGTTTGCGTCTACATGCGATACACATATGTGCATTCTCTTTTATTTATATATAGATTTGTTAACATAATTTTATAAAGATTATGTAAATGCCTTAATTACAATTAGCCAGGATCTCAATGGTTTCCTAAATTTAGGAGAGGTAGAATCACAATTTTTTAAATCAGAACTTAATACATTAAAACCTTTTTTGTAACATACCTATGACTAGTTTTTGCTAGTTGTTTATTCGTCTGCAAAGGAGATAAAATAGCATGTCTATTATTATTTTAAGTTATTTTATGTACCTATCTATTGGTCTTACTATTATAACTTTTTAATTTGTTAACTGCAGTGCTGTTGGCTAATTCTGTATCACCTTTTTTAAATAAATAAATCTACCTATTTATTAAAATAATTACTGAATCATATTTCATGGTTTGCAGAAGACGATTCTCCTGAGGCATCAGATCCAGAAATCCAACGGCATGGATCAGGTCGGGTAGTAACAGATTCAGAAGTAGACCAGCAAGTTTGGCAATGGTATTCTGATAGTCAGAGTCAAGAACAAGGGAAAGGTCGTCGCCCTTCTAGCCAAGAGGTTGCTATTCTATATTATTCAATTTAAAGATTCCACACCATCTTTTACAAAACTTGTATTATTTTAGGTAAAGAAGTGAAATTGTCTGGATACCGGAGCATAATAAATATTCATGCATTATGTTATGAGGAGGCTTTATGTCTAAAATTCTTATTGCTTCCATTTTTAAGAAAAATCACAGTCTCATTTTCAATTGGTATCAATTGTGTTTTGCGTGAGAAACTTGGAAAGTTGATTAAATGAACATTAATTATAGTTGGTTAAAGTTATTTATTCAAAAAGAAAGTTCTGTGGTTGGGCAAAGTGGAAATTAATATTTACATTATGTCATTGGTACCAAATGGGCTGTAATGAAAGGGTGGTGGAGTCAACCTTTACAAGTGCCAATCTGAAAAAATGTTTACATTTCGGAATTTTTTTATAGATTCTGCCTTAAGCAATGTCAAAGAATCAGCAAGAGAATTCAGACATAAGTGTTTCATAATTAATATATAAGATAATTATACTATTTTTGCTCTCGTGAAAAATGACCGACCAGATAAGAAAGCTACTTTTTCCTGCACTGATTGTTATATGGTTTATTAAAGTATTAAAGTACAAATGTGTCGTAGGTTCGTGCTTATGCTGCTGCTTTGTATGCAAAACGAGGTCTTTCTACTCAAATCCAATGTTCTTATGGGTGGTTTCGTCGATGGTGTGAACGCTTTGGCGTAAGATTACGCTATTCAACTGATGATGAGTTGTTAGCATGGGCCTTAGCTCAGCTTGATTGCAACCATGCTCTCTGTCATGCTGATTTGCAAGAGCGAGCACGTCACCTTTGGCAAACACAGCGCCCTGACTTTAAGGTTAGTTCATATCTCTAATTTTCTTCCACCCATTAATTTTTTATATTTGTTTTATGTAATTAATTAATTATGTGTAGCTTGAATTGTAGTTGAACAAAATTAGTTGTAACTGCCTGTTCCATTAACAGCCAAACAAAAAAACAAAATAATGTTTACTGTTTAATGGATACTGTTTATTTGACACTCGCGAATATGTATGTATTTGAAGCTTACAAAGCTGAGTAAATCATACACTTGATATAAATACTAATTCTGTGAGAATACTTTGTTGGCCTGAATCATTGGCTTTCAAACTCTCATCCTGATATGTAATAAATGGCAGAATTGATTTGTAAATTGAATTATTTAGTGCCTAATGCTGTTTATAATACGACGATTGCAATTTATGTATCCAGAATAATAAATTTTAAAAAATTGGTATCATAGCAAATGGTTTTATTGTTTACCAAAATATTTTCCAAGATGAGGACTTTTGTACACCTTTGAACCAATTTTCATAGCACTTTTGCCTCTCCGCTTGGGTTGTCTCCAAAACACACTTTAAGCACATCAACTGCTTCTTCTGGAGGCAGAAATCATTGACCACATTGTTTATTCTTCACAGAAAGAAACAAAAAGAAACCTTTGGATGACAAGTATGGTGTATGAGCCATCAATTCAATATTTGACTGATTGCAAATTGAATAATGTAGGTTTGAGTTGGAGAGCTTGCACGGCTGTGATGAATGATTGTGTGTTTGTTGTTTTTTCTTATATCTTCAAAGACTTGTGCCAAACATATGGTTGTCTATCATTCTGAATTTACTGTTCTACGATCTTGTTTCACTGGTACCACATGCCCATTTATCTCCCTCAAAACAGATGACCATTTGTATTTATTTACTGAATAATGGTGGCAGCAACAAGATGATTTACATATGCTTTAAATATAGTTTACATATTTCTTTATTAATTTTAATATAAAGTGTCCAACTTGTCCAAAGTGTCCTTGAATGCACCCAAGGTCACTTTATCATTGCAGACCTTTGGTAGCCCGTTCCAGGTGGAAGGGATAGTGGATAAATATTATTCCAGTAAAATCTGTTTAAGCCAGAATCGATTGGGACAAAAAAATGTTCCAGTTTGGGGAGGTTTCCTTTTTATACAGGGTTGTTCATTTAATGACACTTGTGATATTGAAATTTCCGTTATGAAACTAGTAAATAAATGGAAGTAAAGAAGTAATTAAAGTAAAGTAAAAATTACACGATTTTATTATAATATTTAAAATAGATTTACATGTAACATTGTTATGGAAGACATCATCAATAAATGAATATTAAACATTCTTCATTGACAGCTTCTAAAGTTCTCTTGCTTCCATAAGTTTGACCTTTTCATACAATGTTAGTGAATGCTAAAGTTAAATGGTTTTCACATTGTTAAACTGGATGTGAAACTCATAAAAATGCACATCACCTCACTGCCTAAAGGCTGAAATCGAATTGGTTGCTGACTCTTTCAACTCTCAATGCCAGAGTACTATGATTTTCTGATGCCCTCGGATGGCATTGAGCAATCTCTAGGCAAGGGGTTATGATTTTGAACATGGGGCAGGGAGAGGTGTGAATAGAAGCCATGCCCTTACACCTACTCACGCTCAGAGAGAAGGGGGAATGAATTCCCCTACAGCCTACACATTGAGAGAGAAGTGACTCCAAGGTGAATTCTATGCTGTCAGCTGAAGCCCCTATCCTTCACAAGGCAGTTGCCACGACTAAATCGCATGGGATAGAGAATTTAAAACAGAGTTGCAGATGCATTCTCTCATCTCTGCCAATTGCATTAAATTCGTAGGCATTCAGTTTTATAAAGATTTTTTCCCCCTGTAGGACATGAAAAACAATTTTGTTCCTGTGTTGGACAGATTCCATTTTATGATGTATAAAATACCATATAATTTTACTGGTTTTACAAGGAAATTTCCCGCTTAAGGCAGGTTTCCAGCATGTACAGGTTCTAGTTTAGACAGATTTTACTGTACTAAATTTATTTAAAACAGGCAATTGCAAAATTTTACATATCATTTTACAATTATTATTATTATACATAAAACATACATTATAACATGAATCATAATGTAATTATTTTAGTGCATGTTATAATAAATATCTAGCAAAAATCATTTAATATCACGTTTATCACTTTCAATGTGAAGTTATTTTTGGATACATCAAGATCTATGTCAATTGAATTGGCTGCTCTGTACATTCTCAGTAGAGGAGCATGAAAATATGTATTTGTTTTTGCTAACGGAATTTCAAATGTATATCATATCTTTTAAGTATAGATTTCGAACTGGCCCCATTGAAGTGAGTCGGTCCACGTCCTGACGGGGGCATGTACAGAGGGCTCTCAAGTATTCTTTTCTTTCACCAGTCATCTTCATCCTCCCCATCGTTCGTTTCGTTCTTTTGTAACATCTTGTTATTTCACTCCCCCGGTGTATGCAGAACGTCCACTCGTGTTTACTGTGTCCTGGCAGTTGAGGAACCTGTTTGTTTCCTTACTACTCTTTGTGCTACTTTCTGCTACTTTCTGCTTTGCTCCTAGGGATACGTTGTTTACATATGTTGAGGAACATTCCTTGTAGGTTTCCAACACACTTGCTTTGGCCTCGGACTTTTCTATACGGGTGATCGGGAGCTAACCAACTCCTGATGAATCGCCTTGGACTAGGTCTTGCACTGAATTCCTGAGTGAGCGGGGGGATCCACGGTGGAGCAGCGCTACCCACTATATCTTTGTGTCAACCGTGGCACACCAGTGGGGTGTCTCCTTGTTGGACTTCGTGGTGGGTGGAGAGTATGGAGTCGAATCCGCTTCAGTTCTATGGAGAATAAAACAAACCCCTTGCCCTCTTTCAGAAGGAAGAGGCGATATTGTGAAAAAACGGTGGATTTCAGTAGTTTCTTCCTTAGGAAGAAAATAAACCAAAGAAACCACTTTTCCCTTTTATGGCATGCACGGAAGAAGGAAAAACATTTAAAAGTACAAGTGCTGTTCGTCTCGCACGAGCCATTGAGGACAGTTTTGGTAAACTCCAAGCGGTGGTGCGTGAGAGGAATTGTACCATTGTCTTCAAATCACGCACAGATGACCAAATCGAAAAAATCTCAAAACCTAAGCAGATTGCCGGCCTCTAAGTGGAAGTAATCACTCACCTTACCCTTAACCTACGTGAGGGAGTGGTGAATCACGATAACTTTGTGTCCGAAAGTGAGGAGGAACTTCTATCTTCCTTTAAGAGTTTAGGATCAAGAGGGAGGAGAATGGGAGAGAGAACCCTTCTCCCACTCTGATCTTGCTGTTTAATCTCCCCTCTCTCCCAGAGAGGATTAGTTGTAGGTTCTATATTCTTCACGTGTGGCAGCCCATAAGATCAGAGTGACGGAGAAAAGTATTGTTTCCCCGAGGCGAAACGCCAATACTTAGTGAAGAACCCTGTAGATCTTGGGCGTTCATTTTCCAGTATTCTGATCAAGAAGGCAAAAGCAACAGCGAGTTGTCAGACTTCATCTGCTACTTCTCCAGTCGCTCATTTCTTTGGCCTGGTGTCTCCAGTGGACTTCCCTGAGGAAACATCGCGTTTACAAGGTGGGAAGATAATAATTCATCCAAATTCAAATTGTCCAAGAAAACCACACTGGTGAAGTTGGACCTAGAATCCACTTTTCAGCCCCGTATGAGGGCCGATGTCACTTGGCCTTCTGGCCCAGACAATCTTAAAAAAGATCGTTCCTCCAAACTCCGACCACCTACCACGACTCCTGAGATTTGCTCTGAGAGATCTGTTAGCCCGTCGAGCAGTGTCAAGGAGGAATCAGCCTCGGAGGAAGGTTCAGCTGGGGTGGACAGTCGCCCCTTCGGGCAGCAGAGGTATAAATGGAAAAAGGGGAAGAAAAAATTCCTTTAAAAGCAAAGAAACTTAACATCTAAAAGTTATGGCTCTCCTCTCGTGGAATCTAAATGGCTTTCGCACACGTTTGAGCGAATTAAAGTTGATAATGTCTCTGCATAGAACTGTTATCTGCCTACAAGAAACACATCTTCCTGACCTTTCCCTCTCTCTTTGTGGCTTTTGATGCTACAGGCAAGACGTTAATGATGGCTTCCGGGCACATGGCGAAGTCGTTACATTTGTCACAAGACTCGCTGGTGTCCAAAGAAAGACGTACAAGCTACTCTTTTAAAATTATGCGTTCGTGTGAACTTCCACTCTATAACGATAACTATTTGCAACGTCTATATTCTGCTTGGCCAAGTCATGTCGCAAGAGGAACTTGAAGATACTATATCTCAGTTGCCCGCCCACTTTTTGTATTTTGCGGGACTTTAATGCGCACAATTCCAACTGAGGTGGCACTAGGACCTGCTTGAGAGGCAATATACTTGAAAATATTGTTGACAACCAGAACTTAATTCTTCCGAACACTGGCGAAAGCACACCTTTTTCTGTGGCTTCAAACAATCCTCGTTCGTCGATCTGACTCTGTAGTCCATCTCTTTCTACCATCTTTGATATGATTGTCCTTGGCGACCTGCATAGCAGTGAACACTTCCTCATTCTGGTCAATTTTGATATTCTCGACCCAAACATTCCTCCCCCTCCCTGCTCGTCCTCCTTGCTGGATATTCCACTAAACTGAGTGGGAAACATTCAAGAAAGAAACACGGATAGCGGTAAACCTGCTCAAACGATATCGTTGCCCATTTTACTGATGCTGTTCTTCATGCGGCCTCAATTGCCATCCCGAAGTCGTCGGGCCACACACGACATTCTCCAATGCCGTGGTGGGATGCCGACTGTGCCACCACTGTGCGGGATCGGAATCGCATTGGCAAAGCTTAGTAGGTTCCCAACCATGGATAATCTGATCAGTTATAAAAGATCACAAGGTAGAGCTAGATTGACCATACGGGAAAGTAAGACCGCATCCTGGAGAGCCTATATTTCATCATTCTCTTGCCGTAGGCTCCTAAAGTAGTGTGGCGAAAGGTTTGATAGATCGGTGGAAGACTTCCATCGCTGTCTGTCTCAGGGCTTCCGGTAAATGGAAATCTTCTCACCACATCAGAAGATATAATTGAAGAATTGGCCTCTCACTACGAGCCGATCCCCAGCTCCGTACACTACTCTCCTAGCTTTCTGAAGACCAAAAGAAGAATGAAGAACTGCAGACTAGATTTCTCCAGTCGAGTGGGGGAAGATTACAATGCTCCTTTCTCCATGGATGAATTTTTCCTGTGCCCTTCCTTTGGCAAAGATTCTGCTCCAGGATCAGACCAGATACATAATCAAATGCTTAAACACCTACTGGAATATGCTCGTTCTTTTCTCCTCCGTATTTTCAACATGATTTGGGATAAACATTTCTTACCACGGATTCCTCCGTAAGGCATAAAGCCATTGTTATTCGAATCCCTAAAGAAGGGAAGGACAGAACAATTCTTTCAAGTTACCGCCCAATCTCACTCACAAGCTTTGTGTGCAAGCTTTTAGAACGAATAGTAATCAAATGGCTTCTGGAGCAAAGGAATTTATTTACACCTTTTCAGTGTGGTTTCAGGAAGCACCGGTCAACCATGGACCATTTAGTCTCCCTTGCTACTCAGATCTCCACTTCTTTTGTGCTATGACCTGGTAGCAATTTTGTTTGACATAGAGAAAGTGTATGACACCACCTGGAGGCACAGCATTCTTTGCATCTTGCATTCTTGGGGACTTAGGGGACGGTTCCCTTCGTTTTTAGTAGTCTGCCTTGGTGACACATCCTCAAGTCACCGTTTAAAAAAAATATGGTGTTCCCCAGGGATCATTTCTGAGCGTCACTTTGTTTGCCATTGCTATCAATAGTATCGCATCAGTAATTCGAGAGCCTTCTGAAAGCATTACTCTTCGTTAATGACTTTGCCATATTGTGCTCATCAAAGAGCATGCAAGTTATTGAGAGGCAGCTACAGCTTGTCCTCAAAAAATTGCTAGAATGGAACGATAAAAGAATATATCACCTCCATAATCATCCTCATTTCCGTCATCAAATCTGCCACTTTCCTTGGCCTGACATTCAACAAGAGTTTAACATGGCAAAAACACATTCAAAACTTGAAGAGACGTTTTGTATCACTATTGAACCTCCTTCATGCCCTTACTAGTAGATCATGGGGCGCAGACCAAGTATGTCTGTTGTGCCTAAATAGGACTATCATCCGTCCTATCTTAGATTATGAGTGTATTGTTTGTGGGTATATGAATCAGCACAGGTGCCTTCCACAAGAATGTCTCTGGACTGAGGCTGGTGAACCATCCCTGAGCTGAAGGTGAGATATTGTAATCAACTCCTATGGTGCAAAAGTATCAGCCATAAATGCTCATTCGAGCCAAGCAGTTCTTCACCCAAGTCACAGGACGTCATACGAACTCAGACCATCGTTACGCCATCCTCCGTATATCCATCTCTACACGCTCTTGCAGAAACTCAATATAAAACTCCCCATCCTTGTGAAACCTCCCCGAAATATTGTTCCCTCTTGGAAGCTTCTCCAGCTTAAAATAGACATGAGATTACTACACTTCCCCAAATCCTGAACTCCCCCCAGTACATTTCTTGCAAAATTCCAGAAGATGAAATCCATTTGTCCCGGCTATAACTTCATATTCACTGATGGTTCCTCCCAGAATGGTAATGTAGGGTGAGCCTTCTACTGCCACAGTGCCATGTGGAGTCTTAGACTAGACTCTTTGTGTAGTACTTATACTGCAGAAAGATACAGAAAAATATGCGGTCTTGGAGGGACTTAAGTTCACTGAATTGATGACATTATAAGAAGCTGTGATCTGCAGTGATTCAAAAAGCTCGCTCAAATCCATCTCCTGCTTCTCTTGTGACCCTCTGACAATAATTATCCAACACCAAATTCATAATTTACTGGTTTGTCATTATAATTTGGTTTTTTGTTGGATCCCTGGTCATGTTGGGATAATACGGAATGAAATTGCTGACCAGGCAGCAAAGCTCACCACAAAGAAAACTGAGGTACACATCCTCGCAGTCCCAACAAATGATACCAAGCCGTTTATCAAACATTGTATTCTCAGTGCATTGCAGTCAGAGTGGTGGAACTCACGAGAATCAAGGATTCCGCAAATTCTTGGTCTTCATCTCATGGGTCAAGACATGAGATAATTCTGACACACCTTCGTAGCGGTCACTGTTATTTCTCCCATGCACATCTTCTCCACGGATACTTGTGATAGTTGCGAGACAGGTCTTACCGTGGACTATGTTTTCCTGCAAGGTAAGAGATAGCCTGCGAAGGCTTCATCTTGTTAGCTCTCTAGCTCAGGAAGGATGGAAGTGATGAATCTTCTCTCTGCAAGCTTTTTATCTTCTTACAAGGGTCTGATATACAGCATTATCTGAGAGAAGAGGATTATGCCAATTGTTTTTCTTATAATTGGAATTTTAAAGTATTTATCTTGCTCTTTTCTGCCAACCCTTTTAAATAATTGAACATGTTTATTTTCAGTTTTACTTACATTTACTTTGGCACTGCTACAGTGCATATTGCTCTTTAAAAAAATTGAGATGGGTGCCAATGACCTTAGCGTTTGAAAGGGCCCTTAAACCTTAATCATAATCATCGATCTGGTATTTTGGTATAGAAGATCAGGACAGTCAATATTTTTCAATAAATCATATAAAAATAAGATATTGTTGTAATTCTTATGCGACTTCAATATACTAATATTTAATGTTGTGCCAATTTGACTATAATCATGAGACATGCAAGATGACGGTAATTTAAGTTTCCAAGCTGCAAATTAAAAAAATGTATGTTGTACTGTTTCTAATTTATTGCTATGAACGTCATACAAAGGTGACTATCTGGGCGGAGCATACAGAAGACTTGGTCTTCTATATTATTAATGTGTAATATAAGTTTTAATTGAATGAGTTCTTTTAAAATTTGTAGTCGTTCTTCTGAGAAAACCAAGCATTCTATTTGCTTTTGCAACAATGAAACCTATATATTCATTGAATTGTAGTTTTGGTCAAAAATCATTCCCAGATATTTAATTCTCATGACAGTTTCTAATTCTTGCCCATTTATCAACTAAGAGGGTATAATTAGATTTCTAGACTTTATCTTATGATTTTACATTTTTGAATATTCAAGACAAGTTTATTATTTTTACACCATTGGAATAACACATTCAGGTTTTCTTGAAGAATTTTACAATCATCTCTTGATTTTTATTTCCAAAAATAATTTTAAATCATTTGCACAAAGTCAGAAAGAACAAGATTGAAGTTAAAAATAGCTTATGACAAATCATGATTGTGACCTTTCTTTGCAACAATTGGCAAAAAACATTTTTTTGAGTGATTGTTAATTGAGTTAAATTATGCAGAACCTATTGCGAACAGATCTTTTTCACAGCTAAATGTTCATGTAAAATCTTGTCATACCCGTAACTATGCTTGCAATACCCAAGGTTGCCTCAATTTCATGGTATGTCACATCTTGCATTATCAGTTCACGCACAATATCGATGTTTTCGAGCAACTGATTATAAGCAACCTTTTGTAAATTTGTCCACACGGCCCTGATTGAACTCTTTAGTGATATTCAGTGGTTTTTGATGGTGATTCAAGCCGATTCCAATGGAGACATCAATTAATTATTATCCATATGGTAATAGTTCCTCTCAAAGCCACCTCTTAGAAAACAAATAAACTGTGTTGATAAAGATACCTTTCAGTGTCAATTCCACACTAATTTCTATTTTGTTTGTACTACTGCTGTTACACAGAACGAGAACGCTAAGGAAAGGTAGCATTGGAAAAAATTGGGCTGTAACAGCCCCCATAATTTCTGAATGAACTTTTCTTCTAGTTGTCTCAAAGATTTCTTCTTTAAGAAAGAATAGAATCTTTCATGTTATCAAATTTTGACTTATCTAAACTTTATTTAATTGTAACTAAATATTGATGCAGGGAAGGATAAAATGCTTCAAGATGTCTAAAATATTACCAGTATACATGTGAGCTTTAACTGTGTGTACATTTCTCTTATTTTACTTGGCATTGTATTCTTGTAAAATGCATACAAATTTATTAAAATAGTAGCTTTCGATGGCTTAGCCATCATCATCAGTTTCCTGCTGTATGGAAGCCACAATGATGGCTCAGCCATCGAAAGCTGCTATTTTAATAAATAATATTGTTGGCAATGACGTCGCATATAATTATTTCATTGAAAATGCCAACGAAAACTCACCACAATACCAATATGCATAAAAATTGTCAATGAATTTTTGTATCATAAAGGTACACCCAGAAGTATATCACTATATTGTAATGATTCGGAAATCAAATTGTCATCACCCTAGATCTTAGCTGCTGAATTCAAGAGAGAAAGGTCAGGTACCATAGAACAGTTCTGACTCCAGTTGGTGATGAGAAAGGGAATTTTACAGAATGTTATTTCGCAATCTTAGAGTTGAAATATTGGAAGTCTGAGATGAAATTAACTGGCTATATGATGTTAATCTGTTTCAGTTAATCTGTTTATGAGAAAGAGGATTTATAAATAGTTCTTTGCAGGCATCTCCTGGATGGGCAATTCGTTTTTGTAAACGGCATCCAAAGTTATTGCAGACTGTTCCATCAGTTACCACTCCTCTCCCGGAGCCATTGAGACCTTCAGTTACTCAGTTTCGAACATCCTTGCGAGATCTTGTGCGAACCAATGCTTTATCACCTGATGCGATTGGTAACATGGATGAACTACCATTGGGGTTCTCAGCACCTCTTGCAGGTGAGGATTGTGTAATACCAACGAGAAATTTATTGTGAGGACATCAGTGAACAACCAGGGAACAGAAGTGTATTTCTGTCAAAATTTTACTTCATATTATCGTGTTTTAAAAGATAGTGAAACAAAATGTCAGCAACTTGACTACCAATAGAGCACTAAAAGGGTAGTGAAGACCACAAAAACATTTGATTATTTTAAATATTGAACTTGTGTGATATTGTAATTGTAATATCCATGCTGGTTAATATTAGCTTCAGTGTGTGTCCATTAAAAATTACCTTAAAGTTAATATCAAGATTCTCATTTTGATGTTCACGTATCCTAAACAATATGTTTTATACTTCCTTCAGGTACTCCTAGGAGACAGTTACTTCTTCGTAAGCCAGGCATGGATTCATGTCATGCAACTGTTGTTTTATGTTGTTTGGCTGATGGAACACTTCTTCCCACAATGCTTATTTTGAAGGTAAATTACATATTCTTTAAGTTTTGTCTCAATTTGCACTTAATAAATTCATTTTCTGAAACAAATTGTAAATGTTGTAGGATGAAGTGGAATTAGCTAAACCTGATTCCAATGTTATAGTTATACAGCAGGATAATGGCGTAATGGACCTGGCGTGCATGCAAAAATGGCTTCATTTTGTCTGGTTTCGGTGAGTCAATTCATATTTCAAAAGAGCTCAACCTTTTGATTTGGTAGTATTGATTTGTAGAAATTTCTTAACTGCCCCAAAATGATTGAGATTCTCTTTTCTACAATTGTGTCTCCAAATTTGGATGCCTAAGCAGCCTTGTTGGATGGTATGAATGTCTTTCAAGGTTTGTTTCTAAAATTCTTTTGATGTTTTATTGCTCTACTTTATAAAAATAGTATTGTGGGTCCCTGATATCAAAAAAGTGCAATGAATCTTCTTCCTTCATGTAAAATACTTCCTCTAACATGTGTAGTCAACCTTCACATTTTGTGAGTCCTTGAGACTGAAAAATTGGTTGCCCGCAAATTGTGTGTCTGACCACCCATTTGTGATCAATGCTGGTGCCTAAACCGTTCAGCCAATTTTATCAAATATTCTTTTTCTCCAATCAATCTGGCCGAACTCGAAGCCCTTTGAATTTTAAACCGATGTTTTGATTTTTGGTACTTTACATGAAGCCTCAACATTTTCAAAGTTTTCAAAAAAACACTTTCATTTATTTTTTTTATTTTTTTATGCATCCTTTGCCTCAGATGCATAAAAAAAGGTACAGGTCTTGTTTTCTTTGAACACTAAATTTTCAGAAATTGCAAAAGTTATATGCTCTGTAGGACAACTAGTTTTCTTAATGAAATCTGTTCTTTAATACTAAAACTGTTCAATTGTGAGGCATACTAAATTGCATTCTAAAAAATTCGCTGCTTTGAAACATTTTCGCAGGTTCAAGTATTATAAATACACTAAAACTTGTCTAATACAGAACCTAATATTTACTTCAAAAAATGTCCATCTTTTCCAGGTTTCTGTCTTAGAGAGAGTTGCCACACTTTCACTGTGTAATATAAGAACACTATTTTCACTATAATTTTGTTCTTTTAACCATTTGGTTGGGAATTTTGTCCTTGTTTCATAAAATGTCATACATTTGACTTAATTAACTGAATTTACCAACTAGGTCTTTTGCAGAACATTCCGATGTTCTTTAATCCCATTCTTTTCTTCTGACCCGGAAGTGTTTTGCATGTACGCTTCAAAGACATTAGCACAGAGCTTTGTTACACTGTACTGCGAACGGTCAATAAATTGTGTGGTCTACACCTTATCAACCTTAAGGCAGCTATTCATGAATGACAAGACATGGAATTCTATTGTCGACTGTTAAAAATGTGATGATGCTTTTGAGAATTGAATGGGTGCGGCCAACCAAAGTTAAGGATTCAGAGCGACAGCGATGAAGTCGCGCTTGTTGCGACCTTCAAAGGTCACCAAATCATGAGAAAGAGATAGGAGGTGTTGGAGAAATAACTCATTCCACACTGTATTTTCTCAGAGCGTGAAACTTCACAGTTTGCCATTCCAAAGATAGTGCCGAAAATTTAAAAATAAATTTCATTCTTAGCTAGGTAATTTACGTTCTCGAGATAACTCATTAATATGTCTCATCTATATTTTTATGTTCTCTAGAAAACATTCCATTTCCAACTTAGACAGGTTTCCAGCTTATAAAGGTCATTTTCACGTATAAATGCGTTCTGTCACGAGATTTTTTGTCTGCTATGGGAAGTTTCTGTTTTACTGAGGTTACAAATAATACATGAATGATTTGCTGTTGTGGTACCACTAAATCAGTTTTACTTTCTCGCCTTTATATAGGAACAAAATAGTGGGTAATTCTTTTTTCCTATGTGATAAAGTAAATTCCTATTCTAACACATTGTGTAGTCAGAATACGTGTTTTGTGGGTCCTTCATACTGAAAAATTGATTGATGACAAAATGTCTGTCTATGACCAACATAAATGCCAAAGCCATTTAGCAGATTTTCTCCAAAATTAATATTCCTCTATTGACTCAAAGAAAAATGAGGCCCCTGAATGTGAAATAGGTATTTTGATTTGGGGGGGGGGGTACTTTACATGAAGGCCCAACATTTTCTAAATATTCTCAAATGTTTTGATTAAACTTTGTTATCGATTAGCATAAAGGCTGCTTAAAAGAATAGTGCATTGTTGAAATACCTAATTTTTCAAAAATTGCAAAATTGTTTGCCTCTACCTTCAACTACAATATTGAAGATAGTGTATTTGTTCCCTTTAATAAAATCTGTTTAAAGACAAATCTGAAACTGAAAGTTGTGTACAATGTTTCAAAAATGTGAGTTTTTCCATAACTTTGCGTAAAATTTTCAAACCTTTCTTTTTTTTCTCCCTTGAAAATGGCTCCAATTTTCTTTTTATTTTCTCATATTAATGCATGGTATTGAAAGTAGTTCTGGTACCATTTTCAAAACAGTATGTCATACTTCTCGTCTTGTCACAGTTAGTGGTCAAGAGAACCACCAAATAGCATCTTCACGTATGCTCCTCCTACCACTCACACTTGCGAAACTACCAAGCAGCCAGAATTGTGAAGGAATTAGGATAGGGGTAGGATTTAGGACACTTCACAGGGGTTGGACTAGCCCTTGTGAAGCAGTCAAACTTTTTTGTTCGAACAAATTTAATGAGAGATTGTCCAGAAATCAACAGAAATTGAACCCAGACCCTTCTTGGTGAATGGTGAACGACATTGCTCTGATCCCCGAGACACATGTTTGCTACATAATTCAGTTTCATGACAAATAAGACTCAATGTATGAAGTGCAGCTGTAAAATTAAATGATTCATGTATTTTTGTAGTAATTTATTGAAATTATAACTAATCTGGGCCATTATTTTGTCCTGTAAATTGCCCTCCTAAAATTAGAGTGCACATATTATTCGAGGACAGTATATTATTTGAGTATATATAGTATTGTATAACTCTTAATTAATTGCATTAATTGCAACCTTTGTTTTCAGATATGCTCCAAATCCTAATCTGCTGGTTGCTGACAGTTTTGGCCCTCATTGTGCATCAGAAGTAACTGATGCCTTCGCTAAAGGTTCCAGTTGCAAAAGACTTCTTAAACTTATTCCTGCTGGCTGCAGCTCTAAGCTTCAGCCATTGGATGTTTCTTTGAAACGAACTTTCCAGGTAATGTTCATTGAAAACTTGTGTGGAGAGTCGAAATGTATATCTTATAAATACACATCAGTTATCTATTAATTGAAAATATGTTCAATTTCATATAATTCTTGTCTCTTAATGGGCAAATTGATCCGTCTTTTCTCATACAATAATGTTAATTTTCTGTAGTGACCGAATTCACACGTGCAAAAATTTATGTTAAGCACGTGGTTATTAAAATTTGTTGACTAAGGCTATATGTTTTTCAGTATTGTTTCTTTCAGAATATCTCTATTGTAACAAATACTAGATTTTGTAATTCTTGTATGATTTTATGAGTACGAGAAATAAGGTGAATCAAAAAACAAATTGATAGTTTTCGTACTAAAACATTATTGATAATTTTGGCATGTAATTTGAATTGATTATTGTGGTTGTTTTTCTAACTCTTATGCTCTTCATGCATTTTCAGTGCTGCAAGTGAATCATATTTTTCATATTAAGTTATTTTTTTATTATATCATATTTTTTTAAATTTGCTTAAAAGTTGTATTTCACATATTTTTATGGTCACTTATTTGACATATTTTGCTACTTGGCTATGGGCTGGTAACTCACACTAAGGAAACATATTCTACTCGCAATCTCCACTGTATGCCAGATAGTCACACACAACGACCAATGCATGCCAAGGACAAGAGAAAAGGAATTACGAAATTAATGAATGTAACATGGAAAGTGAGATGTCTAGAAATGAAAGTCGTAGAACTAGATAAGCTTCTAAATGAACAGAAAATACAAATAGCTGTATTAACTAAGAAGAAACTAAGAGGGGGAAAAAAAAATAGATAACTATACAATGATATATAGTGGTGTATCAGAGGGTATAAGAGCAAAAGCTGGGCTGGCCATATTGATTCACAAAAGACTGAAATATAGAATAGAGAATTATATGTACATGAATGAAAGTATGCAGAGGTCATCTGACAGTGATAGGGGTATATGCCCCTGAAGAGGGAGGGAAGGAAGGCTGAAAAAAAAATTCGAGTTCACCCAGCGTACAAAAGCAAATCAATAATGTAAACAAGAACGATGGTCTTATAATATTCTGTGATTTTAATGTTAGAGTTAATATTATACCTATCCTGGGAATTGTCAGAAATCGGGGCAAACAACACTTGAACGAAAATGGTAAAGAGCTAAGAACATTTGCTTCCACCAACAACTTAAAAATTACAAATACTTTTTTTAGGAAAATTGATGTAAATAAATACACGTGGTGCACCCAAGGATTCAGATCAATAATTGATTATATATTAATAAATAATAAAACATGGGCACAGCTGAAGAATGAACAAGCTTACCGGGGATGTGATCTGTACACTGACCATGATAACAAAATTCGCACTTTGGCAAAGATGGAAAAGATGGAAAACATCAACAAGAAAGAACACACAATCCCTAGAAGAAGTATTCAAAGTGCATCTTCTGTAAGAAAAGAGCATAAGGAGCTTGTACCTAAAGAGACTAAGACAATATTTAATGGATGTATCAACAGAGGATGACCTCGAGAAAACAATGAAGATTAATATAAAGAAATCAGCAACGGAAGCACTTGGTATAAAGTGAAAGATTAAAAGCAAGAATGATTTAAGAATATGGAATGAAGAAATTGCAGAAGCAATCAAAGACAAACAGGAAAAATATAAAAAATAGGTTAAACAGAACAACAAACTAACCCAAGAAAATTATAAAACTGCACAGACCAAAACAAAGTACATAGCCAAAGAAATCCTTCCAAAATCGTGGGATAAATTCATAAGTAAAATTGAAATACATGGAAGACAACACTGCCACATATGTACTTGGTGCGACAGCCCGTGAACGGGTTCAGGCCTAATAGCCACGTCCCTGCCTCGCAGCCATGGGTAAAGGGGGTAGGTGAGGTTAGCATGTAGACGTTCCTACACTGTATTCTGGTCCTCTCAACCTGCCACATATAAGATTATGAAACATCTGAACAAGGCAAAAAGAAATACTATTAAGATTGATATTGTGAGGAAACAAAAGTTGATCTAACATTTAAACAATTATGGTACTATGGACAAAAAGATGAAATATCGGAACTTAAAGAAGGGGAAAAGAAGGGGAAAGCAACATTGATCCAATCACAATACAAGAGTTACAAGAATCATTAAAAGAACTAAAGAATAGAAAGGCTCCTGGAACTGAGAAAATTAATGCTGAACTTCTAAAATATGCTGATCCACTCCTGCATTGGAGATTACAAACTGTAATGAACCAATATTGGCAATCGAAACGTATACCAGAAGAATGGAAAACAGCTGAAGTTGTATCAATATTTAAGAAAATATATCATAAAAATCCAGAGAACCACAGAGGTATTAGCTTGCCTAACATAAGGTATATACCAGAATTATAAACAAAAGACTCCTAAAAATAGCAGACTTGCTAATGGATGAAGAATAAATGTGTTTTCAAAAAGGAAGGTCAATTACTGACAATGTATTGTTCGACAGCAAACCATGGAGAAATAAAGAGAATTCAATCTACAAACATATGTGGTATTTATTGATTTCGTTTAAGTCTTTGATAATGTTGATAAAAGAAACTTTGGGACATTGTGGAAAATTATGGCTACCCTCACCATCTCATATACACAAATAAAAACATAAATAATAATTCAAAAATAATTATTAAGACATTGCATAAAGATAGAAGAAATTTTAATTAACAAAGGTGTTCGACAAGAATGCTCAGTGTCGCTGATACTTTTCAACATACTGTAGGGTCGCAACTTAGCTGGCTCTGAGCTGATGTGCAAAGTAGAGGGTTTGAGGAAACTAAAAATAGCCACCTGAACAAAAGACAGTATTTCCATGTAAGGCAGGGTGCCGTGTGCAGGGGCAGCGTCTGAGACATGTCTCAATGCAGCATGTGGGGGGAGAAATGACGTGGGAGGTCATGTGACTCGCCCCTATATAATGTCCCATCACAATGGTGCAGGTGGGTAATGACTTTGGTTTCCTTGTGGCAAGTCCACAAAACTTTGTCCGCCCAGGCTGGAGCGGAACGCAGTGCAGATGCCACATGTTGGTTTGATGTGTTTGGACCGGGCAAAGTGTTCCTTGAACACAGTAAGGCAGATTATTGATCTGCCAAGGCACACCAGATGCCAAATTGCCTAGCAGGCCTGTCACAGGCGCCGCCACAAGGGTCAAATAGGGAGAGGGGTGCTCGCAAACTGCCTTAAGAGTGAGGTTTTGTATGTATGTAAACCAATGTAAATAAACTTGTATATTCTCACTTGAGTCTGTCTTTTTTGTGGCATAGATACCTACCCACAATGTTACAATATATGTAAATGACATATTGCTGAGATAGAAACAAAATATTAGCACAGGAAAAAAATTGACTAGGAAAAATATTTTAAACCTTCTACTTTAGGCAGATAATGCTGTCATAATTCAAGAAACTGAAAATGATCTACCCTGCCCTGTAAATATGCCCTGCACCATGTAAATCAGCTTTACACTTAATCATCTCAAAAGACGAAACCAAAATATTAGTGTTTTTGGGGAAAAGAGATTATCCATTCAAAAATAATTCTAGACAATGTGAGTCTAAAATAAGTTCTAAATTTTAATTACTTAGGATGTGACACAGAAGGATAAAAAGACATTGATAAAAAATGAGAACGATTTCAATCCATCTGTGGGACACACAACTCTTAAAAAGAAGACCCTAAAAGTCTAGAATCATATTTTATTAAATATTAGCTCTCCAGATATTACTTGATGGTAGTGAGTGCTGGGTTCTAACACAGAAAGAGTAGGCGTAATTCAGAGCTGAGAGATGAGGTTCCTTCGAAGAACAAACCTTAGAAGACCAGATAAGAAATGAAGAAATCTGGCGAGAATTGGATGTGAATAGCATAAATAATATAATGTAAATAAACAGGAAGAAGTGGCTGCAGCACTTAGAAAGAATAGAAGAAATAAGACTAATTAAATATTTTCAATGTCTTTAAATTTCACTTTGAGTAACATGAAAAATTCAGATTGCTTTAAAAAGAAATTGGAAAGCTATTTAATTGTTTGTCATTTTTGAAACAATTACATAATTGTTTAGTTTTAATGTGTTTCTGAAAAAATTTCTCAGTGGTTTCTGAGCTTAATTCGTTTAGAATTACTACATATATTACCTATCTTACTTTGAAACATCCTTCATTCATTTAAAATCTAAAATGTATTTGACGGCTTCTAAGACTCAGATACATGTTATCAGTAATTTGATTCAATGAATTATTCATTGATTGTAGAACTACGGGTTTTGGAGCATCTCTTTTTCGTTCGTCTCCAAAACTTGTTCCAATCTCTAAACAGTGTTCTTCATTGAAATATTAATACTTCAAATACCTATTTTCTGTTCTTTTTGAATAAAAAGGCTTGCTCTAAATAGTTTTAAGCCACATCAGGTTCATTAGATGATCATTTCAAACCAAAATCGCTTGCCGCAGAGGGAAAACAAATGTTTTCATCAATCGACATCATAGTTCAACATGGAGACTTGGTTCATAGTTGAACAAGGAACTTAGAGAAAGAACATGTAATAATTAATATGGAGAAATTATTACTATTATCTTCATTTTGGCTATAATGTGGCATATGACTCAATATCCAAGCCTTTCAGTTCATACTTTTGAAAATACTATTTGTTTGTTGTGCTATATCATAATCATTATTTCCATGTTGCAGCAATATTTGGATCATTGCTGGGAACGTCTTAATACTGGAGCAGGTATTGGTTGGGCATGTGGACAACAGTTACGTCTGCCTTCCGCAAGGGAGTTAATACAATGGGTGACTAATGCACACCACTACGTTATGACATCTCGGCAGGTAAAGTTGGATTCAGTTCTTGTGTATATCTGTGTGGATCATTCTGCGCAAAATTGAACAAATTTGAAGCAAAATTGATCTCAATGTCTAGTATCTTTCTGTTTTTTGTTGATGGTTTTTGGGTCAACTCACCCATATTTATATTTTGATAATTCTTTCTGTTTTGAAATATTATAATCTGGACGAAAGAACCATTATATGCATCTGGTAATTTTGTTTGGATTGCATTACCAAATGTTTGTAACTAACCAATAAAACAAATATTATGAATTAACTTATGTTTCATGTGATAAGTGTTATGCTTGAAATTGTTATAATTTTCCATAACAGTTCCATAAAATTGTATTCAAATCTCGATGTCACACTATTAGTGTTGATTGTAAAGGGACGAGAAACGTTGCAAGTTGATTCTTCAACCATACCTTATTGCACATTACATTAGATTCTAGAGGGAGTGAAGAATTGGGCATGCTCAGAAAAATTTAATTTGAATTTTCTCTTCTTACCAATGTGTTTCAAGTAATTATTGGTAAGGTTTATATCTTGAATGCTGTGAAAATGTACGTAAAACAAGGCAGACTACTATTATTTAACTTTCCTTAAAACGACCATAATAGCTCTGAAAAATGTCAGCCACTCTATAAGAAGACCTTTTGAGTACAAAAAGTGTGCATTGGGAAAAGAAATGTAAGTAATGTATTGATTACAAATTCACTGTTTCAAAAAGAAATTTGTGTAGCAATGTTTTTAACCCGCTAAGTACCATGATCCCCATTTGAGTATTGATTTTATTTTATTGGTATAAAATAATATTTGCAAATTTTAGGAAAACATTGTGTTTATGCATTTCTAGAACACAATACTTGGCCAAAAATCGATTTTGTTCATTTTACAAATCTGGTACTTATGGGTTAAGAAAAGTACCAAAGCTTGTCTTTTTGTCTAAAGAAACTGAATAAAATATTTGTTAGAATTTTTTGAAATCTATTTTCTTTCAGACTGCACTATTCGGTAATATCCACTCTGCAACACTAAACTTTATTTCTGCCCATTTGTACATTCAGTTAGAAGTTAAAAATTAAATATAGTTGTTGAGAACATATGATGTAAACATGATTTTTTCTTTTTGTAGGAAACAATACGAAGGAGTTTTCTTGTTACTGGCCTGTTAGTGGCAGACAATCACAGTGAAGATCATTTTATAGAAAATCCAGCAGCATTACCACCTGAGACAGAACCTCCTGAATTTGAGACCTGAGTTTTAGCAGGATGAGATTTGATGCTGTCTCCTGCAATGTAGTTTGTAGATTGATGAACAAGAAGTAACCATAATGAATCACTAGTTTATCTACTTGATTGGTAAAGTAATATGAAGTAATCATTTGAAGGTGCACGTAATATCTTCACCAAACTTGTAAACTAATCTTTCACAATTTTCTAGTCATAATTCGGACTGTTTATTATAAAACATAATTTGATACCTCATGAAATTTCACTACCATTGCAACAGCAAATACTGCAGTTTTGTATAATAAAAAATTAATGGCAACACCAAGCACATTTCTAGTACAAACATAATTGTTTATAGAAGAAATGTTACTTTAAATTTTAATGAGTGAAATTTGAACTGAAATGTGAAATCAATGACCAACCCATACACGAGGTTATCTTGAATTTATGCCAAAATTGGTTCAGGTTACAAACTTGCATATCATAATGACAGCTGTGAAGTTCTATCATGAATGATACATGCAATATGTCTTTTTCAAAGCTGTCGATCTTAATAGGCAAAAAGATATCCAAATGGTCAGATGAGTTAGGGAGCAACAAAGGTGTAAAGTCCAATAGAATTAAGACTTTTCACCAGAGTTTGGAAAGTGAGAACTGCCTACCGTTGCATTAACAGAGCGTGTATAATTTTGTGTGCATGAAATAGTGCCATATTCACAAGTACTGTATGCTACTGGGATATTTTTACTTTTGTGTTAAGTCATCAGAATTTACAACTAATTGTCATCACATTTCATCAAAGTAATACATCATGAAATTATTAGGGAAAAATTTGGAAAATGTAGAGAAATTTTGAAATTTCTCTACATTTTCCAAATTTCCAAGATTGATCTTTGTAATTTCATGGCTACTCTTAGCTATTCTGATTAATAACACCCATCTGCAAATCATTTTTTCAAGAAAGCTGTATGACAGGTTTTATTTGATCTTAGTATTTTTTGGTGTGCTGAAACCAATAATTGTACTTTTCTTCTTTCTTCCAGAATTACTGCCCTTTAAACTTGGTTATGTATAGGAAAAATAAAAATTGTCATGTTTCTGAGAAATATATTTTTATTGTGCTTGTCAACTGGATTATTTCTGTTAAACATGTCAACTGTTCTGTTATACATGATTATGACATTTTTTCTTATTTCTTTCATTGTTCTAATGCATTTTAATTTGTGGGTGTCTGGTGTTTTGCACTTTAACATCCTACCATACTCCTGCATTGTAGATGTCTCCCATTTTTTGTGATAACACCTCTTTGTGTTTTTCACATTGTCATGCTATCTCTCCCCTTACTTTGCACTGATGAATCCTTGCGTTTCCTGGGAAGTAGTTTACATGAAAATGCAAGGAATGGATTTTGAACCAAATTTTACAACTTTGTGCTTTCAATGCTATGAGAATGTGTTTTATGAGATTTCTGAGGTCTGAATCTGAAGTCTTAAGTCACAAAGCGTGTTATGGATGAAAGTTAGACCTCCTTCTGTTTCAAAATCTCAATACCATAATTTGATGAAAATAAATCTGAAGCAATATTCTAGATCCAATGTAATATCATTTAAATAAGAGGACAGTTGTCACTTGGAAATGATACCATTTTGAGGAATAAGCCAAATAGCAGGTGGTAGCAGTTGGTGATGAATTATTTGTCATTTATTGTAAAATCCTCACATCTATTGAACTCAGCGTTTCTCTGTTTTCCCTGTCTTTCATTCCATCGTCTTCTTTGCCCTAATGTTCATTTCTGTTATTACATCTCAACACAAGCACCTTTCTGGAGAGTTCCAATAGTGGCAATGTAGAAATTTCTAGTTTTGGAGTTAAGTCCAATGTGCTGTCTCTCTGAAACTCTCACCATATGATAAAAAATAAATAACATAAATTGAACCAATAAAGCAGGCATTGTTGTACTGCTCCTGGCTCATCATCAGTTGTGTAGTGAAATTACTCCTTAACTTTGAACTGTAAATAAAGATATTTACATTTGCATCCTTAACAGAAATCGTCTTTCTCTTGATCACCCAATTCTAATACAAAGTAAGTGAAATAGGTTTTCTTACCAAATTCAGTTATACTTCCCTGGTGCTTTTCAATTGCATATTCATCACAAATAAAAATAATATTGATTTATTCTTAAATTCATTGTAACATGTAGTTAAATGGGCTGCTTACTGGTTTACTACAACATGCAGAGTTGACAAAAAACTGTACATAATGAAGAAAAACATGTAACCATATTTACCCAAATATAAGTCAACCTTGAATATAAGACAACCCCTAATTTTGAAGAGGCCTTCTCAGAATTTTGTTTTATTTTTAACTAAATGTAACTAATCACAGTCAAATCACAAGTGGTATAACTGTGTTGAAAAATCTAAGTTCTGTTCAATTGCTATTTTCTTCATCATCGTCATCCAAATCAGCAACATCATTAACACTGTCACTTTGTTCATCTTCACTTGTATTGTTCTTTCTTCCCAGTCCTCTCTCAGTAGGTCATCTTCTGAGCCATCAAGTGCATTGAATATGGAGCATTTTCTGAAACCCTTCACAATAGATTCAGTGGAGATCCTATTTCGAGCAGTAGCTATCTTCCGAGCTTCTATAATGAGGGCTTCCTTAATTTCCCTTCAGAAGCGAGGGCATGGTTTCCTTGAAGAAACCAGTCATTATAAAGTTGTGGGAGATGATCCTTGAATAGTTTGTTTACAACAACATCCATCACTTGTAGTTGAGATGTCATCCCACCAAGAATTATTACTGATCTGTTACTCATATCTCTAACTTCTTGCCTGACATGTCTTTTAAATGTGTTGACAGTTTCTCTTTTGGCATTCTTTTCCTGTGCTGTATCACATATGGAGGTAGCTTCTTGCCATCAGCCAGAGCACACAGCATAAAGGTTATTCTGACTAGTCATTGCATGTGTTTCTGACGGTAACACTTTTAGCACCCTTGGTTTCAACTGTTACTTTTGATGGCATGTCAAAATAAATGGGCATCTGGGCTGCATTGCCGATTTGACTGAGAAGATAGCCATGTTCTTTCCATATTTAAGAATAAGGCGTAGGAAACCAATTAATTTTTCTTCAAAAGCTGCTGGAAGTCGCTGAACTAGCATCGTTCTTTGTCATAATGTCACACCAGCTCATACTCATACTCACGTTAAAATATTTGCCATCTTGTAGAAGATTCTTTATTTTAAGTGCCTTCATTCATGTGATTTCTTGAGAGATAGGGAAGCCTTAATTGCGTTTCTCTCACATACTCGACAAGTTGCTGGTCCAACTCAGGAAATCTTAGGTCCTCTGAATGTTTCACACATTGAAATTGCATTCTCTAATTTGTCTTTCATCTGACACCATCTAAGTGTCATCATCACATTCTGTCATGTCACCATCACATTCCGTGGCACATGAACTGACTGGATAGGTGAGCGTGGCATATTTGTAGCATATTGTTTTGTCCGCATATGAGTTTTTCGCAAGGGACAGAATGGGATTCTCACTGACTAAACTTAATTTGTAAATATAAGATAACCCCCCATTTTGTGAACAAAGCATTTAGGAAAACACTGGTTCATCCTATATTCAGGTAAATACTGTATTTTAAGTTTCAGCATATCAAAAAAAATAATGAAATTAGTTCACAAGTTCTATGCAGTTTTTGATTACAGCTTTGTGTTATCAATGTATTACTTCATTTCCATGTGTAGTCAAAATAGATTCGATCCATGCAGAGCAAATATTCTTTTAGAGTAACATTTCTGAAGACATAGTTTTTATTTTAATCTTATGAGTCTGAAACTCAGGTAATAAACATTTTTCATGTACAGTTTGTTATGTAGACTTGCATGGTGTGCTTTGCAATAAGTTGCTGACAAAATCTGCAGTATTTTGTATAATCATGATCTACATATTTGTATTGTTGTTTGTTTGTTGTTGTTTTTTGTTCAGGAACATTTCCGAGATTTGTTCTTTATGAATAACTTGGATCCCAAACAGTCTTCTCATAGTTGTTTAACTTGAGGGTGAGATACATATTTTAGTTTTACTATTTATCTGTAGTGAGATATCATTGTTCATTACATATTCTGAGAAGAACTGAAAAAGAAAGATTTCTTATATAGCTTTTTTGAGCTGTGAACTCCACTTAATCTTTTAGAAAGGCAGGGTGATATATTGAAGAACTGAAGCAATATTAATCTAAACTCCACAACTAAAGGTTTTATTTACTTTTGTATCAAATATTAAAAGTGGCATACTGATTTCAAATCTGATGAAACGTAATTTATATTCCTTTAGATTAAATAATGTGATGCATTGTTTATGAATAATTTTGGAAAGATGGAATACACTTTGTAGAAGCAACAAATTTCACAATACATAATTACTAAATTATTCTTTTTTTACAACATGGGCAAATATTCTCCAGCCAAAAAATTTCACTTTCCTCTGTGTGTCAAATATTGATATGATTATATATCTATAATAAGATTCATATTGTTAATTCATTGCCTGTTGATGTGCCCAACATTTTGTAGCAAAATATAGAATGATTATACTCATTACAATGTGTACATTGATTGTCCAATTTACATAATGATTTTTGCTTATTTTACCTACATGTTGTTTCATATACATTTGATGAAATAATGTGTGCAACTTGTAATATCATCTTCTATAAAGATCGATTTTAATCATGCAAGAATTATAGCTTTGTTATGCAAATTTTATTTGTATAACTCAGTGATGCATAGCATCTAAGCAACATAGATGTTCTTGCCTTTGTGCATTATTATTATTATTATTATTATTATTATTATTATTATTATTATTATTATTATTATTATTATTACAATCAAAGATGTGCAATACAATACTAGAATCCTGTTTAAAAGTAGTGGAGAGTTTAGTTTCTAAAACTGAAACAAATCATTCATAATAAAGCAATAAATAGTCATTTGTTATAAACAAGTAATTAATCACAGTTATTCTGGTATATTGTAATTTAAGTGTAAGGATTACATATTGCATATAACTATCGATGCTTTCTGTAGTTGGATATTCATAAAATCATGATTATGGTATATAAACTCCATAGTTTGTAGTATATGTTTGTAAAATTGACCAAACTTTAACAGCAAGACTGGTTGCTAGACTGATGATAAGACTTGCGCTATATATATATGGTTCAAAAGTCTCACTTACAACACAGCAAGACTGACAGCATTTTTATGATGTGGATCATTCTCTTGAAAATGGTAAATTTTTTTGCTTCATATTTA